TCAACCACGGCAAGGAGAATGCTGCGATGGTGGTGGTGGGCGTGGGCGATCGAGGGCGCGCACCTCGCGCACGCGGACTTGGATCCGGTGGCCCGGGCGACGGCGGTGCATCGGTGGGCCAGTTTCGAGGGAGACGTGCCTCCGTGGTGGCCGGTCACCGCCGCCGACGACCTGGAGAAGCACCCGACGCTCCTCTTCGAGGGGACGGCCAAGGTCGTCCGTCGCGGCAAGATCAACGAGTGCGGCGAGAAATGCGCCGCGTTGGTCGACGAGCGGTCCGCGACCATGGACGTTGTCGTGAAGACCGCGCGCTTCGTCAACACGTCGGCGATCGAGAAGCATGCGAGCGAACTCGTCTCGGAGCTCGTCTGGCTCGAGTACCTCCGGGGCCGGCCGGGCATTCCCGTCCTCTGGGGCGCGTGGGCGACGCGCGGGCGCAGAGGCCTCACCTACGTGGTCGAAGACGCCGGAGAGCCGATGAAGTTCTTCATACCGAGCGAGCACTTCCGGCCGGAGAGGTACGCCGACGAGCGCTACAAGGCCTTCGTCCGCTCGAAGCCGCTCGCGACGGCAAAGGCCTTCGTCGAGTGCTTCCACAGCTTTAGCCAGGTCGGTGGCTTCTTCCTCGACGATTTTGTGCCGCACCAGTTCGTCTACGCCGACGGTTCGCAGCTCGGGCGCCGCGGGGTCCGGAGGATCGCGCTCGTCGACGGACCGAAACTTCTCGGGCGAAGTGGCGAGCTCGCGCCGCTCTACCAGAACAGCAGCCACGTCATCGAGACCGCCCCCCGGGCCTGCGTTGGCGATGCCGCCTGCCCACATACGAAGAAATCCCACTGCTGCTGCGGCTCGTCCAGCCCGAACGGCCGGCCCGACGGCTCTCGCGGCGCGCCCGAGTCCAAGGGCCGGTGCGCCGATCGCGCATGCGTCCCGCTGTCGTCGGCGACGCACGTCTTCGACGTCGCGGCACATAAATGGGCCCTGCCCTTCATCGAGCAGCTCGCGAGGGAAGACGGCCACCTCGTCGTCGCTGACGGGCTTCGCGCACTCATCGCCAACATGACGCGTCGTGACGCCGGCGCGCGGCCGTCCTTCTCCGAGGTCCTCGACGCCCTCCACGCCCTTCGCACGCTGGAACTCAGGGCCACGGGCAAGAACAAGGAATGAGTAGCATTATTCGTGCTGATTACTCCGCGAGGATCACCGCATCTACGCGAGGTCGACGAGCGAGATCCCGCTCGTGCCCGGACTATTGAACCCCCAAGCCGGGGGTATTTACAACCGCAGCATGCGCAGTCGCCGCCTGTGAACTGCATGATGGCTAGCTTGTGAACACTAAAAACATGGAACGTGTCAATATTTACGTCCGCGGCCGCCTCCGCTGTCCGCCGCCGCGCTTGGCCTTGGCGACCTTGTCCTTGTGCGCGAGGAGCGCGTCGACCTCGGCCGCCGCGAGCGGCCGCAGCGTCCCCGGACGGAGGTCGCCGAGCGACACGGGCCCGAAGGCGACGCGCCGCAGGCCTGTGACCTCGTAGCCGAGCGCCTCGGCCATGCGCCGCAGCTGGCGGTTGCGGCCCTCGGCGAGCGTGATCACGAGCCCGCGGCCGTCGCCGCGCGCGACGTCGCAGGGCAGCGTTTTTCCCGTCTTCTCGGCCTTCGAGCCGCGCTGGAGCGGCGTCGCGATCTCGACGCCCGCCGCGAGCGCGGCGACGTCGTCGTCGGCGGCGCGGCGGTCGAGCTCGACCTCGTAGACCTTCGCCAACTTCGACGACGGCTGCAGCGCCGCGTCCGCGGCGGCGCCGTCGTTCGTCAGCACCACGAGCCCGCAGGAGTCGACGTCGAGGCGGCCCGCGGGGAAGATGCGCTTGCCGCCGGCGAAGAGCTTCTTGAGCGCGGGCGCGCGCCGCAGGGACCGCCGGTCGTTCGCGTCCGTCGTGCACGCCACGCCCTCCGGTTTGTGGTACGCGTAGTACTCGAGGCCGCCGCCGCCCTCGAGCTTCGCGGCGAGGGCCTCCCAGTCCCGTTTCTTGCCGTCGAGCGCGAGTGTGTCGCCGCTGCGCAGGCGCAGCGACGGCTTCGCCGTTTCGCCGTTGACCCGCACGCGGCCGGCGGCGACGGCGGCGTCCGCGGCGCGGCGGCTCAGCTCCGGGAAGCAGCGCACGACGCGGAAGCCGGCGCCCGTGTATAAAGCGCTGGTCGTGGTCGCGAGCAGGAGGAGCAGCTCAGCCGCCCGACTGCGGCCCATGCTTGTCGACCGCACCCCGTGGACGCCCGCGCAGCTTCGACTCGAGCCAAAAGGCTGCGAGCGTGATTGCGATGCACGCCGACAGCTGCGGGAAGGCGCAGACGCCAAGCACGGCGGCGCCGGCGGTCAAGATGTGTTGTTGCGTCGGCGCCAGAGTATAGCTCGACTGGGGTAGCCTGAGCGGAATCAAGCCATGCCTGCAGCTGTAGCCTCAAATTCATCTACACGACAAGATCACGACACTTCCGGCTCGGTGCACACCTGCTAGTACTCTGTACAAGCACGATGGGCAGCGCGCGCTACGCGCTCGGGCCCGCGATGGTGGCGTTGGCGATCGGCAGCGAGTACTGGAACCAGTACGCGATCGAGTCACTGGTCGAGGTCTGCCCGATGGAGGTCTACCTGACGCGTCGCGACGGCACCGTGGCGACCCACGGCGTCGACCTGACGAACGCGACGGGCGTCGACGCGCTCGTCGCCGACTTCGAGGAGAGATATCTCGCGGAGGAGCCGCGGCTCGCGGCCGAGCTCCTCGAGGGGATGCGGACCTCCTTCTTCGACTGCGCGTGGGCCCAGTGGACGGGCGGCCGCGTCGACGCGCCCGCGGCGCGCGGCTCCGTCGGGCCGTTCGCGGACGGGTGCGTGCCCTTCCTGACCGCGTTCGCAGAAAACCCGGGCGAGCGGACGGGGGCCTACCGGCCGCTGTTCTCGCCGCACGCGCAGTGCGCGTTTCCGCGCCAGCTGTTCTTCCACTACAACGCCGGCGACACTTTCTGGTTCGAGGAGGACGCCGGGCCGTGGAACATGTGCAACTCCGTGAGCTGGTGGCTCGCGCGTTTCCTGGGCGACTGGGCGCGGCACGGCGGGCCGCCGGGTTTGGTGCTCGACGTCGGCGCGAACGTCGGCCAGGAGGCCGTCCTCGCCGCGTCGTTCGGCCACTCCGTCGTCGCGTACGAGCCCTTCCCGGACACGCTCGCGACGGCCGCGTTCAACGCGGCCGCGAACTGCGTCACCGGCGTGACGCTGCGGCCCTTCGCGACGAGCGACGGCGCCGGCGCGCGGTGCGCGGCGGCCGCGGACCTCCGCTCGACGGCCTCGCACGCGGGCGACGGCGTCTTCCGCGACAGGGTCGTCGCGTCCCAGCGCGTCCTCGCCGGCGACGCTTCGGACGGCGTGTGCCTGAACGTGACGACGCTCGACGCCGAGCGGGCCGCGGGCTTCGTGCCGCGCGAGCGCGCGATCCTGCTCAAGATCGACAACGAGGGCTCCGAGCCCGCGACGCTCCGCGGCGCGCGAAAACTCCTCGAGGAGGCGCCGCCGCTGGTCGTGATCCTGGAGTGGCTCCCCTTCCACTACGACGACGGCGCCGCCGCGGACCTCGCCGCGGACCTCGGCGCGCTCGGGTACACGTTGTACCCGCTCGCGCCGCACGACCGGAGCCTGCGGCCGCCGCCCTACGGCTACCGCGCGCACGACGTCCTGGGGGAGGGCCTGCCCCTCCGGCGCGCGGGCGGGTCGCCGCTCGCGCCCATGGACGACCGGCTCTGGGCGACAATGCTCGACGTCCTCTGCGTCCACCGCGACCTCGCGGCCCCCGGCGCCGGCGCGGCGCTCGCGCGCGACTGGGGCCGCGCTAAGGGCCGCTAGGGGGCAATGAATAGGAGGTCGCGGTGGACCGCGACCACGTCGACGTCCGCGACGGCGCCCGCCATCTCCGGGACGCGCGGCCCGTCGACCGCGAAGTCGCGCCGCGCGGGCGGCGCGTCGCCCGCGCCGAAGCCCGCGTCGACGGGCGTCAGCGGGTAGAGCCGGTAGCCGGCGGCGTGGAGCGTGGTCTCGACCTCGGGCCAGCGGTCGTTCTGCGGCGCGAGGAGGAGCACGAGTGAGGAGCCACGAGCGTCAACGACACGGACACTTTATTTCGTTGCACGAAACACCCGCGGGGCTGGGCAGCGCCGCGCGCGTCCGGGACCGCCATGGACGCGCACCAACTGTCGAAGCTCATCCCCGTGGCGAACCGCCTCGCGGCGAACGAGGACATCCTGGAGAGCGAGCTGCGGGAGATGCTCGCGGCCCTCGGCGGCGACGACGGCGCCGCCGCCGCCGACGACGACGCGGCGCACAAGGCCGCCGCGTCGCCGAAGAAGGCCGCGCGGCCGAACGCCCGGGGCAAGAAGCAGCAGCTGTCGCAGGAGGACGTCGTCGCGCTGGCCTACAAGAAGGAGGCCGAGGCCGCGCGCGCGAAGCGGTTACGCGAGAAGCGGCAGGACGCGGCCGTCGCGGAGGCGCTGCGCAAGGGCGACGCGAAGCTCGAGCCGGCCCTCGCCGCGCGCGCCGCGTCCCTGCGCCGGGTCTGGAAGCGCGAGCCCAAGGGCCACGAGCTCTTCAAGATCTTCGACCGCAACGGCAAGGGCTTCGAGCTCGCGGAGCTCCATCGCATGATCCGCCGCGACCTGCGGCTGAAGCCCGCGGACATCTCCGACGACGAGATCGCCAAGCTGGTCAAGACGCTCGACGTCGACGGCACGGGCTGCATCGACGTCGCGGCGCTCGGCGAGTACGCGGACGGCAAGGCGCGCGCGTGGGCGACGGAGCGCATGCAGCAGACGCGCCAGGCGAGCTCCTCGGGGCGGCTAACGACGTCCTAGCCTGGGGGCCGCGCTGGGGCAGTTTCCTAGCCTAGGGGTCGCCGCGCTGGGACAAATTACTGTCGCCGCCGCAGGAGGTAGCTCGTCTCGAAGAACGCGTCGCAGCCGCGCTCGCGCCAGGCGGGCTCCGCGTCCATGCGGTCCTCGCGCTCGAGGAGCGCCACGTCGAAGGCGCCGTCGAAGAGCTCGTGGACGACGTCCTCCGGCACGGCGAAGGGCGGGCCGAGCTTGCCGCCGTCGAAGGGCGGGTGCTCGACGGCGACGAGGAGCACCCAGCCGCGCACCAAATCCGCGAGCGTCGCCGCGTAGGCTCGGCGGTCCGCCGGCTCCACGGCCACGAGGCCGCCGCGGTCGAAGGCGCCGTCGAACCGGCCGCCGAGGTCCCCGGGCGCCAGGCCGAGGAAGTCGCCGACCTTGAAGCCCACGGTCCGCGTCGACGGGAGCCGCACGACCGACAGATGATTCGGGCCGGGCTCGACGTTTCCGCCATGTTCGCTGGCGAACGCGTCCAGCGCGCCGGCGCAGCCGTCGACGCCGACGACGTCGAACCCGCGGTCCGCGAGCGCCGCGAGGTCGAGCGACTTGCCGCAGAGCGGCAGCAGCACGCGCGCGCCCGACGCCAGCGGCGGCGCGTGGCGCGTCAGCACCGGGTGCTCCTCGTCGAGGTGGAAGTTCGTCGCCTTCGCGTCCCACTTCTTGCGCCAGCGCGCGAGCCTGTCCTCGGCGCATTGCTCTTGCTGCGCTTGCGCCATGGTGGCGCACAACGCGGCGAGGAGGAGAAACTTTGCCAGCGTTGCGACGACTGTTCGAGGCGCTGCGCGACGCGTACGACGCTGTCCACAGCGTTATCAAAGTCGAGCAATTCTCGAGAAACGCCTCGCCCATCGCGTTCTTGGCCGACTCCGTGTGGTGAGCTCGGATCGGCAAAAGTGCTTCCGAAATGAGATGGGTTCGCGTCGTGGATTGCCGGTTCGAGTGCAGGGATGGCCTAGTGGTTATGGCGACTGTCTTACAAATCTCTCCGAGATTTCGCGCACAGTAGGTCGCGGGTTCAAACCCCGCTCCTTGTACTGCGTCTTTTTTTATTGTCTACAGCGCGCCTCAGACGAACAGCGTGGACCTGGTATGTTAGGATGGCCGCGCGGCGGACGGTGGGTCCGCGGGGTCGAGGGGGGGGCGGGGATAGGAGGGGGGTGTGCTCGGCGCCCGCGCCGCGACGCCGGCCGGCGACGGCGGCGGGGCCGCGGGCGCTCACGTCAGGCACGTCGACACCGCGAGCGCGAACGCCGTCGCGGGAGTGAAGGGCGGCGCGAAGTCGAGGTGGAAGCGGTTCGCGGCGACCTTGCAGAACTGGAGGACGATCTCCTCGCGGTTGAAGGATTCGTGGTCCGACGCGACGATGAGTTGAAAATTCTTGACGGACGCGACCTTGCCGCGGCCGCGGAAGTCGAGGCTGTACTTGCCGTCGCGCTTCGCGGGGTCGCGCTGCATCATGACGACGAGGCCGCCGTCCTGGTGGCTGAAGCGCTCGAAGAGGTTGCCGGATGCGCCGCCGCCGGGCGCCGGGCTCGCGCTGCCGCCGGAGACCGTCGCGAGGAAGTCGTTGGCCGCGCGCGCGTCGCCGGCGGCCGCGGGGCTCGGCTCGAGGATGACGCCGATCTCGCGCGGCGCGCCGCCCCGCGACGCTCTCTGGTGGCCGTAGAGCGCCATCTCGGAGGACGTGTCGTGGAACTTGGCGTCCGCGGGCGCGTCGCGGACGCGCGCGAACGGCTTCTTCTTGCCGGCCTCGAAGAAGTAGTAGTGGCTCGAGCCCGTGGACACGCGCTTCGCCGCGAGGATCGTGTTGTCCGGCGCCGAGCTCAGGCTCAGCTCGAACATCTGCGACGACATGAGCGCGCCCTTCTTGCGCTTGACGACCGCGTGGAGCAGGCACGTCCGCGCGTCCCGCGGCGCCGGATCCAGCGGCGGGACCTCGACGCCCATGTAGGCCATGTCCCGCAGCGCGTTCGTCTCCCGCGGCGGGGGCACGAGGGGGGACGGCGACGAGATGGGCCGCGGCGGCGGCGGCGGCGGGCAGTTGGGGAAGGGCGTGCCGTCCTCGGCGACGCGCTCGAGCACGAACCATCGCCGGAACCGCTTGAGGTGCTGGACGACCCACTCGGTAGACACGCGCTTCTGGGGCGACACGTCGACGTTGTCGTCGTCGTCCTCCTCCTCCTCCTCCTCGGACTCGTCGTCCTCGTCGTCGTCGTCGTCGTCGTCGCCGCCGTCCTTGAGCCGGTCGTTGACGCGCTCGCGGAACGTCGCCACGCGGCCGTCGATGGGCTCGTGCTGCAGGCCCGCGGCGTCGCTCTCGTCCTCGCCGAGGGGCTTCGGCCAGTCCTCGCCGCCGGGCGTCGTCGGCGTCGTCGGCGTCGCGGACAGCACGACCGACGGCGCGCGCTGCGGCGACGCCTCGAACGCGAGCGCCGCGAGCTTGTCGCGCTCGGCCTTGTCCGCGAGGTCGCTGAGGCGCCGCGCGTCCGTCTCCGCCTTGGCCTCGGCCGCGAGCCGCCGCGCCTCCGCCGCGTCCTGCTCCGCGATCTGCCGCGCCATCGCCGCCTGCGAACGGGCGTTTTTTTCGCGCGGCGCTCCCCCTCGCGCTTCGGCGACCCCCCGACCGGTAAAAAAAAGACGCCGCGCGCCACGTCCGCCTCGGCCTGCTTGGCCCTGGCGGCGTCGTCCAACGCCTTGAGCCGCGCGGCCTCCGCGGCGTCCGCCTCGGCCTTGGCCCTGGCCTCGGCCTCGGCCTTGAGGCGCGCGGCCTCGGCCTCCTTGCGCTTGCGCTCCTCCTCCTCCCGGCGCTTGCGCTCCTCCTCCTCCCTGCGCCGCTGCTCCGCCTCGTCCGCGAGGCGCTGCGCCTCCGCGGACGCCTTCGCGGCCGTCGCGTGGCCCTCGGCCGTGGTCGCGGCGGCCTCGGCGGCCTGCTGCGACTCGGCGGCGGCGGCGCAGGCGGCGTCGAGGGCCGCGGCGCCGCCGCCGGCGGCGCTGGCGGCGAGGCCCCCGGACGCGGCCGCCGCGGCCGCGGCCGCGGCCTTGGCGTCGCCGGCGCGCGCCTTGGCGTCCGCGGCGGCGATGTCCGCGTCCGTCGCGGCGACCTCGGCGTCGCCCGCGGCGGCGGCGGCGAGGTCCGCGGCGTCCTTCGCCGGCGGCGCGTTGGGCTGGCCGTCCGCGGCGTCGCGCGCGGCCGCCGCGGACGCCGCCGCGCGCGACGCGGCGCCGCGCGCGGCCGTGGCCGCCGCGAGGGCCTTGGACGCGTCGGCGCCGACGTCGGACGACGCGAGGTCGCTCGGGATGGCGTCGACGCACGCCTTGGCGTCGGCGAGGGCCGCGTCGGCGGCCGCGACGGCCGCGACGGCCTCCGCGGCGGCCTCGCGCGCGAGCTTCGCCGCGGCCTTCGCGTCCTTCAAGCGCTGCTCGATCTGGGCCGCGCGCGCCGGGTCCGACGCCGGATCAAACGCCAGCACGTCGTTGATGCGCCGCAGGGCCGACGCGGGGAAGAAGACGCGCGTCTTGCCGAGGCGGTAGTCGTCCGCGGGGACGTCGAACGCGGAGAGCGTGCAGCTCACGACGATCTCGTGGGACTCGCCGGCCAAGGCGGCCTTGGCCGTCGCCGGGAGCGTGTCCAGCAACGACGCGTACTCGACGCGGTGCGGCAGGCCCACGCGGAGCACCTCCGTCGCCGCGACGAGGCCCAGCGCGCGCAGCTGCTCCGCGACGTACGCGCCGTCGAAGACGTCGCGCACCATGCGCGGCGTGGGCTTGATGCAGCGGCAGAAGCCGCAGTCCGTCGCCCGCAGCGTCGCCGTCAGCGCGGCCATGGACGCCGTGAAGCGCGCGCAGACCGTCTTGGGCTTGGACATCGACCGCCGCTTGTTCGCGTTCGGGTCCTCGACGGCCGCCGTCGCCGCGAGCTTGGCCACCAGCGCGATGGACGACCCGGCGCAGGCCTGGGTGACGCCCTCGGGGATGGCGTCGAGGTTCGTCACGACCCAGCCGTCGCCGCCGTCGCCGCGGATCACCGTGTAGCCCGCCGCGCCCGCGTAGTGGACGACGTGGAACATGAAGCGCCGGTCCTGGGCCCGCGTGGCGCCCAGGGCCGCGTTGCCCTTGTGCACGCGCGACACCTCGTTCAGGAACGTGCCGTCGCGGGCGTCGCCGCCCTCGGCGCCCGCGGCGGACGTCGTGCCGCCCGTCGCGCACTGCGCGTCCAGGAGCCGCAGCAGCCCCGGCGGCGGCCCCTTGCCCGCGAGGAACTCGAGCGTCGCCCGCGAGTCCGGCGGCGCCAATTTCTGCTTGTCCTCCTCGGAGAAGATGCCCTCGGCCTCGTAGAGGTCCAGCTCCGCGGCGAAGACCGCGTCGCAGAAGAGCTGCTGCAGCGATTCGTTCGCGTAGTTGATCAGCAGCGTCTCGAGGCCGTTGACCTCCAGGGTCTCGAAGCCGAAGATGTCGAGGATGCCGACGAAGCGGTTCCCCCGCGTCACGCCCGAGCCCTCGTCGTGGAGCGCGGTGTTGCACTGCGCCACTAGAGCGTCGAACAGCGCGCCGTAGAGCCAGCGGCACGCGGCGTCGCGCGCGGTCATGGCGTCCTCGGGCGACCGGCGCACGGTGAGGGCCTCCTCCCGCGTCTGCACGGTGCGCTTCTCGAGCATGTCGCCGACCTGGGCCGCGCCGACGCCCAGCAACTGGGCCGCGCGGCCGACGGCCGACTGCGCCGACGCGTCGACGGCCGCGACCTTCTCCTTGGACGCGGCGTCCTCCGTCGCGCCGACGTCGCCGTCGGCCAGCGCCACGATGGCCCCGAGCACGGCCCAGGCGTCCTCGGCGCTCGCCTTGTCCAGGCCCACGGCCGTCAAGGCCCGCGCGACGTCCGGGAAGACGGGCACGGACTTGTCGTCGCCGGACGTCTCGGACCGCCGGGCGTTCGCCGGCGGCATGCAGCGGTGCCGGTGGTCGTCGCCCTTGAGCAGCCCCGCCGTGGGCGCGAGGCGGCCCCCGGGACGGCTCTCGAGGAGCATGTGGAACGCGTGGAAGTTCCGCTCGCCGTGGCCCTGGCGGACGACGCGCGACTTCTCCAACAGATAAGTCTCGAGCTCGCCGCCGCTCAGCACGAGGTCCGCCGCCTCGCCGTCGCCCCGCGGCGTCATCAGCAGCTTGACGAAGCGGCCGAAGCGGCTGCTGTTGTGGTTCCGGTGCGTGCTCGCGTTGCCGAAGGCCTCGAGCACGGGCGACACGGCGATGATGCGGCTCGCGAGGTCCGCCGCCCCCGCGGGCTCCCTGCCGCCGCTGCCGCGCCGCGTGAGGTAGTGGACGACGATCTTGGACGTCTCCGTCTTGCCCGCGCCGGACTCGCCGGACACGACGATCGACTGGTCCGGCGCGCGGCCGCCCGCGAGGCGCTGGTACGCGAGCTCCGCGAGCATGTAGGGGTGCGGCAGGTTCGGATCCCAGGGCGCGTCGACGAACTTCTCGAACGCCGGCGGCGCGATGGGCTTGAGCGGGTTCACCTGCGGCGCCGGGGGGTTGGTAGGGGGCGGACCGGGGTAAGGCGTCGCGGGGGACGCGGGCCGCGCCCCGGAGGGCGCGCGCTGGGGGGGACCGCGACGAGGACCGTCGAAACGAGCGTGTAGGGCGCGCTCTGTTTGATCAATCTCACTTCCAAATTTCGTAACATAGCTTCTTCTCCAAGGTTCTCGAGCGCCGTCATGTCCGGCACGCCATCGTTCTCCGCCATGGTGCCCGCGACGCGCCGCGCCCCACCTGGAGGCTGCCCACGTCCAAAGTCCTAGTGGCTATGCGCAAACGTGGAGGAGGGTAAAACACAGGGTTTGCACAGGGTTCAACGCGGCAGCCCAAAGATGCTGCCGAAGGCACGGTCGGCTACCGTTTTTACAACTAAGCAATGGCGCGCTGAAAGTCTTCGTGTAGGCGCCCAGAGTAGCACCATGGTGGCGATCCACGCCAACGCTTTGAACCTCATGGCGCAGCGGGGCGAGACGACGGCGCTCCAGCGCGCCATCGACCAGGGCGCCGACGTCAACGAGGTGGACCACGACTGGTTCCCGCTCATGATGGCCGTCGCCGTGAACCAGCCGAGCGTCGTGTCCCTGCTGCTGCGCAACGGCGCCGAGGTGGACAAGACGGACCGCCAGGGCCTCACGAGTCTGGCGCTGGCGGTCCAGGAGGGCCACGTCGGGCCCATGACCATGCTTTTAGAGCACGGCGCGGACGTCGACCGCGCGAACGAGGCGGGCACCGTGCCCCTCTTCCTCGCCGCGTCGACGGGCAACGTCGACGCCGTCGACGTCCTCGTGCGCAACAGCGCCAGCGTCGACGTCCGGAAGCGGCAGACGGGCGCGACGCCGCTCCACGCCGCGGTGCGCCGGGGCTCGACGGACGTCGTCGCGCGGCTCCTCGAGGCCTCGGCCGACGCCGGCGTCGTCGATGATGCCGGAGAAACACCGCTCTTGGCGGCCATCGCGTCGACGGCGCCCGCGCGCGAGGCGCTGGTGGCCGTGTTGCTGGGCGGCGCCGCGGACGTCAACCAGCTCCCGAAAAACGGCTCGGACACGCCGCTGTCGGCCTGCGTGCGCTCCGGCGCCGTCCGGCTGTCGGCGCGGCTGTTGGATGCGGGCGCGGACGCGAACGCGTCCGACGCGCTCGGCTGCCCGCCCCTCGTGCTCTGCGCGTGCCTCGACGGCGCGGCCGTCGCCGCGCAGCAGGAGCTCGCGGAGCTCCTGCTCGTCCACGGCGCCGACGTCGACGGCGCGGACGTGCGGGGCACCTGCGGCTTGCACGCGGCGGTCTACTTCGGGCGGCCGGGCCTCGTGCGGCTCTTCCTGGCCCACGGCGCGGACCCGAACCGCGCGACGGTTTCGGTAGAGGAGGCGCGGCCGCCGCCCTTCGACGCGTCGCCGGGCAAGCCCATGCGGTCCGCCGTCGACGACCCGAGCTCGCTGAAGCTGCCGCCGGGCTTCACGCCCCTGCGCCTGGCGACGGCGGCGACGGCCGCGGAGAACAGCGTTTTCGGCGACGACGCGCCGCCCGCGGACTTTCCGTCCGACGGCGGCGAGCAGCAGGAGAAGCGCCGGCGCCGGATCGCCGACGAGCTGCTGGGCGCCGGCGCCACGGAGCCCCTGGACGCCTGGGACCTCGAGGGCGCCGACTCCGTGGCCAGGTGGTTCGCGGCGCTGAGTTGGCACGGCGCGAAGACGACGGACGGCCTCGTCGCGCGCGTCCTCGAGGCCACGGACGACTACCCCGGCGGCGTCGACGCCGCGGCGCTCTTCGCCCTCGACGAGCGCGAGCTCGACGACCTGTTGGACGTGCGCGGCCTCGCGCAGGAGCACAAGCGCCCGGAGACCGCGGACTCGTCGCTGTCGACCGCGCGGACGACGCGGTCCGCGGCCAAGCTCTGGTACCGCAAGGTCCAGCGCCACGCGCTGCTGCAGCGCGACCGCGCGCACCGCGGCGCCGTCGGCGCGGCGCTCGGCGACGAGGCGTCGCCGCTCCGGGAGCCGCTCGACAACGAGGACGCGCGCGCGACCATCGTCGCGCGCCTCCGCGGCGCCGCGGGCGCCTACACGAAGGCGACGGCCGTCGCCGGCGGGTCGCCGGCCCTCGAGGACGTGGACCGCGCCCTCGACGGCGCGGCGGCCGCCGCCGAGGCCGAGCTCGAGAGGCTCGCGCGCGCGCGCGGCGCCGCGCGCGCGGGCCGCTACGAGGCGCTCGTCCAGCGCTGGTACGCTCTGCGGCGCGCCGTCGACGCCGCCCGCGACGGCACGGCGGCGCACCACCGCGCGGAGCAGCCCCATCCCGCGGACGCGCCGAGCTGGTGGGACGCGGCGGCCGTCGCCGCGACGGCCTGCCCCTTCGACGCGGCCGACGGCGAGGGCGCCCGGGCCTTCCACGTGCGCGCGCGCTGCGGCGCCGCGCGGCCCATCCTCTACGGCGCGCTCCAGGGTTTGGTCGACGAGGTCAACGCCGCGGCGCACCCCGCGCAGCTCGGTCTGAGCGGCGCGGACTTCCCGCTGCCCTTCGCGGACGAGCCCTTTCTACGGGTGGACGGCGGCCGCTGCGCGCTCGTCGCCAAGCCGTCGAAGACGCCCGAGGAGCTCAAATGGGGCGCGGGCGCCATGGCCGCGCGCGACGCCGTGGCCGCGACGATCCTCGCCGAGGACCCCTACGTCGTCGCCGTCGTGCTCGCGCTCCTGGCGACGCGCGGAGACACATTACCTTTGCGGCTCTGCCGCGTGGCCGCGGACCTCGACGGCGGCGACCGCGCGGCGACGGTCGTCGCCAACGTCATGGCCGTCTACCCCGCGACGCCCGAGGCGCACGCGAAGGTGACGGCCGCGCCGCCGCCCGAAAACCCCCTCCCGGACGGCGCCGACGACGACGACGAGAGCGTGGGCCTCGAGCCCGTGCCGCCCGTCGACGCCGAGGGCGAGACGCCGGAGCCGGAGCGCGGCTACGAGACCGCGCGGCTCGTGCCCGCGCGCGCCGGCGGGCCGACGTTCGCGCCGGACCTCGCGGGCGCGGACCTGGCGCTCGGCGAGGTCACGCTCGCCCTGGCGACGCTCCATGCGCTCGACGCCTTCGCGGCGCCCTACGCGGACGCGCTCGCGGCGCCGGACGCCGCGGACCGGCGCCGCGCGCTCTTCTCGCGGGACCTGCCGTTCCTGGACGGCGACGCGTGGCTCCTGAAGACGCCGCCGGACGTCGCGGACTACCGGCGGCGCCAGGGGGCGGCGCTCCACGAGGAGATGGCCGAGCTCGGCGACGCGGCGCGCTGCGCGGCGCTCGAGGAGCGGCTCGGCGCGGCCGCGGCCGCCGCGGCCGTCGCGCGCGCGGCCGCCGCGCGCGCGGCCGAGGGCCTCGAAGCCGAGCTCAAGCAGCGCGACATGGAGCTCGAGGGCTGCCACGCGGCGCTCGAGCGCGCGACGGCGTCCCTCGCGGCGCGGTCCGACGAGGTCTTCAAGCTCAAGGAGGAGGTCGCGCGGCTCCGCGCCGCGTCCGTGCCGGACTCGCCGCGCGACGCCGCGCCCGCGGCGCCGCCGCCGAAGCCGCCGAAGAAGGCCGCGCCGCCGCCGCCCGTGCCCGCGAAGAAGAACCCCTTCGCGAAGAAGAACCTCGGCCGCGTCGCGCCCGAGGGCATGGACCAGGGCGTCAGGTACTCCTAGGGCGAGGGTCGCCCGCCCCCTCCCCCGAATGTCCAACCCGTAAGATCATGGTATACTCGGCTCGAGCGTGCGCTCCATGGACGTCGTCCCGTCGCGCGTGATGACGTGGACGACGACCTCGCGGCCCGAGAGGCAGTCCCGGTCGAGGCCCGCGGCCATGGCGGCGAGCGCGGCGTCCAGGAGCGCGTCGCCCTCGAGGTCGGCCTCGAAGGTGGCCTCGCAGGCGCCGTAGAGCGAGGAGGCCGCCGTGCCCGCGACGACGAACGTGTCGGAGACCATGCGCGCGCCCAGGCCGTCCTGGGCGCAGAGGTACGGCGCGCCGTCGGCGCCGAGGCCGCAGATCACGGGCTCGACGGCGTAGCCCGGCGCGCCGCCGGAGAGGCGCCCGCCGTAGAGCATGACGGACACGAGCGCCGACACGGCCTTCGGCTCCGACGCCGCGCTCGGGCCCTCCTCGAGGCGCCGGAGCCGCAGCTTCGCGTCGACGTCCTCGAGCAGCGTCTGCACGTCGCCCTGGAGCCCGCGGAGCGCGAGCACGGCCCGCGGGCCGCACTCGAGCACGCGGCAGGCCTCGTCGCCGACGAGCGCGTTGCCCTGGCCCAGGCGCTTGTCGAGCACCAGCGCGACGCTTTTCTTGCCGGCCATGGCGAGCACGGAGCCGCCGTGGTAGCTGAGCGGGTCCGACGCATGTGCGATTGCGAGCGCGAGCGCTGCGGCGACGGCGCGGCGCGACATAAAAGCTGAACGAAGGAGGGGAAAGCCACACCGCGGCGATCGGTTGAGCTTTGGTTTACTCTCGGCTCGCTGTATGTGTTTGGTTCCGCTCATCGGCTCGCTCTATGTATTTGGTTCCGCTGATTTCAGAGATCGACGGCATGGATGCATTAAATTTAGTCGAGCGCGCCTACCACCGCGCGCGCCCCCCCGCGTGCAAGATCGCTGGGACTGCGCATAGCGCACACATCGGGGCTGCCATCCGCGAAGGAGCGGCAGCGTTTGGATTGCGACTCGCTGAGAACACAAGCGGCTTCGGGCGACCGATTTGACGGACGCGACGCCCCTCCCCCGGCCCGTGAGCGGCCCGGGCAGCCCCGCGCAGCAGCAGGGATCGTCCGCTGTCGACCCGAGAGCGCCCTGCCACAAGGGTTGGCCCCGCGGACCCGAGGAAGTCGATCTGACGTGTTCGCGCTGAAACCGCGTCGCGCGCGCCCGCACGCCCGCGCGCGCGGTGTCGCACGTCGTTCGAGCCAAGTCAGCAACTGAGCAGTCCGAGGGTATCAGACATGTACCCCGAGCCTCCGATCCAGCCAGCACGCTGCCCAGAGCCCAAAATGGGCTGCTTTTCGGCTCGCAGAGCATGCCGAAATGCTCGAACTTCGCGCAGCGATTCCGGATGACGGTCAGGGTGTCCATGGTCACGGAGCACGTTTCCGAGCACACCAGAGGCACGTCTGCCGCGATCCGTAGCCCGTGACCATGGACAGCCGGCCGCGCGCGCGCCGGCAAATGCCAAAGAGAGGCTCTCCCTGCTTCTCCCCTCATGCTGCTCGTGTGCTGAACGAATGAGCTTTGTGAACAGACGTTGAACTGCTCGCGCTGCGCTCGCAGGCGAGAAACCAAAGCCACGAGAAAGCATGGCCAGCCCATTGGCCGCTCTCCTGGGCGCGCTGCTCTATGAGGCAAGTGTTTTGTCGGCCTACAAGGACACGATCATGCCGTCGGGGACGTGCAACATCACCGCCGCCGCCACGAGCAACCTGACGGTGCCCAACCCCATCCAGGAGAACGCCCACATCATCGCCACGTTCTGGAGCGCCCACTACGGCACGCACGTGATTGTGCTGGGCCGGGACACGAAGCTCTACCACAAGCACCAAACCGCGCCGAACGCGTCCGCGGACTGGAGCGCCTGGAAGTGCCTCACGCCGGACTTGTCCAAGATCGCGTGCTCGACGGCGCCCGCGTGCGGCGGCTTCGACAACTCGCCCGTCGTCAACGTCGACGCCAACGGCACGGCGACGGTCTTCGTGCGCCAGATGAGCGACCTCGACATCTTCGAGACCCACCTCGAGGACCCGGCGGACCCGGACAGCTGGAGCGCGCTCCGCCCGCCGGCGTGCATCTGCAACTACCCTCCCTGCGCGAACCAGACGAAGTGCGGCGTCGCGCTCTGCGACGAGAAGGGCGTCGACTGCTCCGTCGAGCCGACGACCTCCGACGCCTACTGGTCCTACGGCCCCTTCTTCCCGACGTCGGAGCTGTCGCTGCTGCGCGAGGGCGACAGCCTCGCGCTCTACTACCGCGGCTTCGACGGCGGCTACTACAAGTCCCTCCAGTCGAACCCCGGCGACCCGGCCAAGTTCGTCTACCCGCCGACGCGCCTCGGCGGCTTCGACGGCGGCGAGAACGCCATCATCGAGTAGGCGCGGCTCAGCGCGGTAAAGTTGCTGTCGGTCTCTGTCGATCGGACCGATGAGATCCGAGTCACGAGGGGTGGTGCGCTTAGTCACTACCTCGAGCAGTCGCGCGCGGTCCGCCAGTACGCGAGGATGTGGCAGAACACGTCGTCGGGCAGGGTCGTGTTCAGGAAGAGGCGCTCGTGCGCGCGCACGGTCGACGGGGACGCGCGGCCGCGCTCACGGAGCGAGGGGAGCTCGTGGCGGAGCGCGAGTAGCTCCGCGCGCGGCGCGGCGACATATTTCGCCCACCCGCCCGCGGCGCGGATCTCGGCGAGGAAGTCGGCTATGGCCGTGTGGCTGTGCCGTCGCGCGAGGGCCTCGGGGGTGTTGCCGTCGTTATCGAGCGCGCCGAGCGACGCGCCGCGACTCGAGAGGAGCTTGCACATTTTGGTTTTTGCTAACATGGCAGCAAAGTGCAGCGCGGTCCGCCCGGTCCGGCCAGATCGATCGCCGACTCGCGCGCCCGCGTCGAGCAGGAGGACCGCCGCATCGCGTCGGTCGTATGAGGCGGCGATGCACAGTGGTGTCCAATCACCGTCGCGACCGTTGACGTCGGCGCGATGCGTGAGCCAGTCTAAGGCGGAACACCAGCCTTGGCGTACTACATGACTTAGGGGCGTAAGGCGCTCCTGGTACGAGTGAAGCACGTCTACAAGAACAGGCGCATTAAGATCGCCGCCGGAAGCGTGCAACCTCTGTATCCTGTCGAGGAACGAGCGTTCACGAGAGTCCATCGTCTCCATCTCGTCCAAGCGGGCTGAGATAGCGGGCTGGCGCGATGATGAAGGTCAAGCAAGCCAGGTTGAAGCAAGCGCTGAAAGTGCTTGAACCCTGTGACGATGGGCTTTGCACGCAGCGAAAACGAGCCGTGCGCCATGCGACGCGCAGCGATCCTCCGCACCGCCGTCCTCCTCGTCGCCTGCGACCCAACCGCTGCCATGCAGCTCGCGCGGCGCTCGGTCCTCGACACGACGCTGACCACGCTGCCGTCGCTCACGCTGGCGTGCTCCGAGGACGACTGCATCTTCGAGCGGCGGCGCAAGTTCGAGCGGCTCGGGCGCACGCTCACGGTCGACCAGGACTTCGCCGGCAGCCGGTCGCGGTCCACCGGCGCGGGTGTCTGGGAGTGCTCCGAGGTGCTGTCGGCGTACCTCGCGGCGCGGCCCGAGCTCTGCCGCGGGCGCCGCGTGCTCGAGCTCGGCGCGGGCTGCGGCCTGTGCTCCATGGTCGCGAGCCTCGGCGGCGCGGCGCGCGTCGTCGCGACCGACGGCGACGCCGGCGCCGTCGCGCACCTCGAGGCCGTGCTGCGAGCGAACGACCTGAAGCTCGAGACGCCGCCGCCGTTGAAGTGGGAGGAGGCGACGCGCGACAGCGCGAAGGCGCTGGGCGCGCCCTTCGACGTCGTCCTGGGCGCGGACCTGACGTACAACCCGAACAACGCGATCGCGCTCGCGAACGCGCTCGTCGCGCACGCGGGGCCGGACTCGACGGTGCTGCTGGCGCACAAGCGGCGCGTCGCCGACGACGACGCGACCATCGCCAAGCTCGGCGAGTACTTTGCCACGGAGACGCTCGTCGCGCCGTCGAAAGTCGCCGGCGTCGCGATCCTGAAACTGCGCAAGCGCGACGCGAAGCTCGGCGACCTCGACCTCGCCGCCGCGTCCGCGGACAACTGCAACGAGGGCTTCAAGCGCGTCAACGGGGCCTGCCTCCTCGCGACGCGGCGCGCCGCGCTCGGCATCCTCGCGTCCGCGGCGGCCGCGCCGCCCGCGGCGGCCGCGGCGCCGCTCGCGGGCCGCTTCGAGTCGCTCGATCTGGCGCGGCCCGAGCCGGACCGGGGGCGCAACGAGCTCAGCGGCGTCGCGAACCTGTACTTCCCGCCCTGGATGCGCGGGACCTGGAACGTGTCGCAGACGCTCACGCGCGTCGAGGCGCCGCTGGGTCTGAAATTCGTCGGCGGGCCGCGCGCGGACCTCGCCATCGCGAAGCGGTCGCTCGACGAGCAGCGGTCGAGGGTCGGCAAGGCGCAGCCGCTCCAGCTGCGCTTCGTCGCCACGAAGTTCGGCGTCGTCGAGGACCGGCTCTTCAACACGCGGAGCCGCCTCGACGCCTTCGCGGGGCGCAGAGTCGTCGCGTCCGTCGAGTACGCGGAGACGGGCGGCAACAACCGCCGGGGCAACGCGGTCCTCGGCGGCTCCGAGGACGACCCGCTGACGACGACGGTGACGCGCTACCGCGGCCCCGCGGCCCAGAAGATCTTCTCCCTGGCCCGGACGGCGGAGACCGGCGGCGACGGCGTCTGGCGCGGCTCCGAGGCGTCGCGGAGCATCTTCGCCCTGACGAACCAGAACGCCGCGCCGCCGATCACGACGGACTCGGAGACGCTCTTCGAGCTCCGGCAGGGGGACGGCACGGTCACGGGGCGCCTGCGGCTCGTCGACTACCTCAACCCGAACGACCCGCTCTACTTCGAGTCGCGGAAGAAGGCCGTCTCCGTGAGCGACTACGACCTGGCCATGACGCGCGTCGCCGACTAAACATATCGTTCAATGAAGCAATTCGAAGAGAGAAATGTCAAATACGGACAGACAGGCAGATCGACGGGAGGTCGGGTGGCACCGAGAGGTCCGCACCGCCGGCTGGAGGAAATTTCACTTGAGAAGATCTGGAGAAGGCGGAGTAAATTTGCCTTGACGCGTCTCTAAACGTAGGGGGCCCGGGAGGCTCCGTACAGCGGCCCCGGGACGGGAGGCTCAGAGGGGTCTCACCCGCGCCGGAGGCGCCAGTCCACTGGAGTGGACGCGGCGTCCTCAGGGCGTCCTGGCGCAGGCGCCAGTAGATCGCCAGTGCCGCAAATTTGCCGTGCGCCTCGAAGACGCGAGCCGCCCCGCCCGCTTCATCCTTATAGTGCCGCCCCGCGTCCCGACATGGTGACCAACACCTTCTCCCTCGCTCGACGGTTCGGCCAGGGCTGACCTTGCGCCCGGGCGACGAGCGAATCAAACGGCTCCGCCGTGCGCTCATATGGCCTCGCGGCGCGCCGTACCCCGCCCGCGCCCCCCGTCGGGGGGACGGGCAGACCCCGGCCACCGCCGGCCTGGGCGGCCGGCGGCGCGTGCCGCGCAGCCGGTCCGACGCCGTCCGACGCCCGACCGGTCTTTCCGCTCGACGACGAGGTCGCGCGCGGCACGCCTCGCCTGGCGCGGAGACCATCGCCGACACACGCGCGCGTCCGTCGATCGTCGCCGCGGAACGCGTTCCCGACCCCGCAGCCGCCCGCAGGCATCGCGAGTTCAACCATGAGGATCTCCCCTGCGCTCATCGTCTTCCCCCTGATCGTCGCCGCGGCCACGGAGTCCGTTACGGCCAAGTCACCGATCGAGAAGTTCGACGCCGGGAAGGGCGACCCGGTCTTTGAGGACCTCCTCCAACCGGCCGCGCGGCGCCGCGCGCTCAAGCCGGGCGAGGGCAAGGCGGCCTCCGAAGCTGCTCCGCAGAACCAGGTCAGCGCGGCTCCGCCCGAGGACGTCGTCGAGGACTTGGAGTACCACACCGTGCGCTGCTCTTGGGGATCTTCGGCAACAACCGGCTCATTGTTCGATTACTGCGGAAATCGTTTCCGTGAAGGTGAGTCGAGTACGAATGCAATCGGCAAATTTCTGTTCAATGAAGCTGTATCAGCGAATGTGCCAGAGATTCACGTGCGCGAGTTGGTGATGTCTCGCATCATAAATGCCGGTGCGCAGTGTATTTCATCAATCGATTAGCAACAACGGAAGCCCAACATGACTCCGCGCTGTGCCATTGCCAATACTTGTCATTTTTAGAATATTGCAAATATGTGCATAGAGAACCGTCAGTGAAACTGACTTTTCAGGGCGATTCGACGGTCAATCGTCTTAGCAGAGAGATAACTAAGCAGTGCGACAACACGAATTACGACAAGAAAAACGCAACGACGAGCATCGTTTTTTTCAATGAAATGACTCTTCATTACTTGTACCTGCCGTATGCGCGAGAAACAGATATCAAAATGAAGAATGGTCCAGCGAACTTCCTTGTCCATAATCTCACGTCCGTGAAAGACTTTTTAAACACGCTCGAGTCTGCCGTAGAGGAAGTGATTGCTTCCCAAAAATCATATTCGCGATCGATGATTATTTACATGCCAGCGAATGATCTCTGCCCCGATAAATTTTATGGCGAATATAGTCAAGCTTGGCGGTTCTTGCTTGAGACTCTTGATATGGACGAAATGCAGAAAATAGCACGACGGCGCCACACGGACATCACCGCGGCAATTGGGTTTACGTTAGATCACTACGGATCAACATTTGCACGTGAGTTGGCTCAATCATACATTAGATTGCGCTTCCCCCAAATATTGCACTTTCCCACGACTGAAACCTATCCAGCTGGCTGTAACTTGACCCCCCCCCCATGGCGATGGCAGACATTTCAGCAGAAACGAACATTACCTTATCAAAGCACGACTCATATTGAACCTTGCAAAGTCCTACGCCCGCGCGGCCCGCGGCACCGGCGGGACCTTCGGCGTCGCCTACGAGCAGTAGCCGCCCTACGTCGTCGCGCTCTCTTCGTCGTCGTGCCCTCTTCGTCGCCGTGCTCGCGTACGCCTCCGCCCTAGTCGTGTCCTCCCGCGACTCCTTCCTACGCCTCCCTTCGCTGTTCTCTCTCCCTTCGATTCCTCCCTGCGACGCGGCTAATTGCAAAGTCTACCCTCCCCCGAGTTAACTAGCGCCGCTCCCTCACGAGTCCCGGACGGGGCGGCCCTTGACGAGCGGGGACCGCGTCGGGCTCGCCCGGTCGTCGCCGACGACCTTGGCCTCGCGCCGGGCAACACAGTACGCACGTCCCCTGACTTGGTCTAATTGCAGTATCCCACACCTCAGTAAAAGGCGGCGGAGCGAAGTAGCGGAGCGGCGCCTCTAGGCGACGGGGTCGGCGCTGTTGACGACGGGCCCGGTGGAGAAGCGCTTCGCCGCCGGGTCGATGGCGACCCAGTCGCCGTCGCCGAGGCCGCCCTCGGGGTTGAGGCGCTTCCACCACTCGCCGACGGCGAGGACCTTGTCCGTCGCCGCGCCGCGGAACTTGGACGCGCGGAAGTGCAGGATCTTCTTCCTCTTGCCGAGCTTGGTCACGAGGACGCAGAACTGGCCCTCCGAGGCGTCGTAGCGGACCTCCGAGAGCCGCGCCTTCTTCGTCGCGCCGTGGAAGCCCGAGTCGTTCTTCTTCGTGTAGAAGAGCGTGAGGTGGCCGTCGTGCTGCTTGAGGACGCACCACTCGAGGACCCAGGGCCGCCTGCCGAGGCGGCAGCCCGAGAGGCGCTCCACGGCCTTGTCGAGGTAGCCCTCGGCGAGCGCCGTCTCGAGCATGAGCGCGTTGTCGCGCTCGTCGACGTACTTGTCCGCGTTGTGGTGCACGGCGCGGAGCACGGCGTCCTTGGCGAGCGTCGACGTGTGGACCATGGTGCCGCCCGCGCCGCGCGCCGCGTCGACGAGGCCCCGCGCGGCCGCCGCCGCGGACGTGCCCGCGCCCGCGGGGTTCGACCCCGCGAAGAAGCCCGAGGCGATGTGGCCCAGCGCCGCGCCGACGTTGACCTCGCGGAGCACGGGCCGCACGGCGCAGAAGACGAAGGTCTTGGCCAGGGAGAAGAGGTCCAGACCCTCGGGCGCGCTCGCCGGCGCCTGGAGCGACGTCCGCAGGTCCAGCTTCTCGACCCAGACGTGGTTCTTGATCTGGCCCGACGAGCTCCGCTCCATCTTCGCCTTCTCGATCATGGACGTCGACGCCGCCGCGCGGCCGACGCTCGAGAAGAGGTCCTTGAGGTAGAAGTTGATGCGCGTGACCTCGAAGGACCGGACGTCGAAGAGCAGCGGGAAGTCCTGGAGCATGTAGCGCAGGTAGGTCAGCGACCCCATCTTCCAGGTCGTCTCCAGCGAGTTGGCCTGGAGCTGCTCGAGCGCCGGCCTGGGCTTCGCGTTGATCTGGTCCTCGTAGCTCGGCAGCGCCGGGTCGTGGAAGTAGCGCAGCCTGAGCCGGACGGCCTGGCTCCGGTCCATGACGAGCCACTCGGCGTTGCGCAGGTGCATGTCGCCCTCCAACACAAAGGCCGAGCCGCCCTCGTAGGCGTGGCTCAGGTTCTCGCCGAAGACGTTCGTCGGCGCGACGACGAGCATCTTCAGCGTCACCTGGGCAGCACGAGAGTGATGCAACGTCGCTTCAACGTGCGTGTTCCGCGCGCGCGCGTTCCGGAACACACATCCACGCTTCGAGGCCGTTCCGAAAGATGATCGCTCGTCCAAAAATCAGCCGAAACGAGTGGAAAACGGCCGAGATAGGAGCCTTTGAAGTTGGGAATGTCGCTCTCTTGTGCTGCCCTGAGCGTCACGATCCACTGCCCCAAAATGTGGCTCGACGCGGCGAGGCCCGTGGTCTTGAGGCCCACGTGCAATACGGCCGAGGGGTCCCCCGCGGGCAGCGTGCAGGACTCGTTCCAGACGTGCGCGCCGGACCGCGCCGCGGGCCGCGCGGACGTCTCCCATCTGAAGTCGCGGCAGTGGACCTCGATCTGCGGCGCGATCTTCTCGTGGACGCCGCGCGCGCCGACGACCGTGACCGTCAGCGCGTTGGGCGCTTTGGCGCCCGGCGGCAGCGCCTGGCCCACCTTGCCCGCCGCGAGGCCGCGCACGAAGTGGTTGATGTTGAACTCGTTCGCCGTCGACTGGTTGAACGCGACGTTGACGTCGTCGACGCGGATCTCGTCGAAGCGCAGGGACCCGATGCGCGTCGGCTCGAAGTCCTCGTCGTTGCGCTGCTCCGCGTGGACCGCGGGGAAGGGGCTCCACATGACGACGCGCGGCGGCTTCGGGAGCGGCGCCGTTTTCTTCCGCTTCGCCTCCGCGAGGTCCCGCTTGTAGTCCCAGGCCGACTGCAGCGCGTTCTTCGCGAGGTCGACGGCGCCGTGGAAGAGGCGCGCGTCCAACGAGATGGCGAGGACGACCTTGGCCGCGAAGACGAAGTGCTCGTGCGCGTGCGTGCCCGGCCGTCCGGGGTTCCCGATGGAGAAGTCGTCGACCTCGACCCGCAAACACAGGCGCCGGCTCGCGCCCGCGGCCAGCGCCGCGGCGTCCTGGGGCGACGACGCCGCCGACGGCTTCGTGTCCGAGAACCAGCACGTCAACCGGAGCGCGCCGAAGCCCAAGTTGAGCCCCGGCACCGCGAGACCCAGCACCCACGTCAGGAACCTGGGCAGGACAAGAGAGATTCAACGTCGCTTCAACGTGCGTGTTCCGCGCGCGCGCGTTTCGAAAACAGCACCCACGCTTCGAGACCGGTCCGAGAGATGATCGCTCGTCCAAAAGTCAGCCGAAACGAGTGGAAAACGACCGAGATCGGAGCCTTTGAAGTTGGGAATTTCGCTCTCTTGTCCTGCCCCGTCAGGAACGCGCCGAGCCACTGGGGCGCCTCCATGAGCAGGAGCAGGATGGGCAGGGGCGACACGAAGAGGCAGGCCTCGAACAGACCGCCCCGGAACGCGTAGGCGAGGCCGGCCGTGAGTCCGACGAACGCGGCCCAGAAGCCCCAGCGGAGCGCCTTCGCGAAGTAGCGCGCGAAGTCCGACACGGACAGGAGCGGCGACATCCAGACGCTCAGATAGACCGTGCCGTTCTTGATCTCGGAGCCGTCGATGATGCGCCGGTACGTGAGGTCGTAGCGCTGGGGGCTCGGCTCGCGGTGCTTCGCCAGGACGCCGCGGCCCTTGTGGGGCTCGAGCACGGGCACGTCGCTCAGCGGCACGGACACGTTGCCCAGGGTCCGCGTCTTCGTCAGGTCCGTCTTGAGGCGCTCGTAGAGCGTGAACTTGACCTGCGCGTTGCGCCGCGCGACGAGGCCGACGTTCCGGAGCCGCTGGCCGCCGAAGTCGCAGCCGTCGGAGGAAAAGTCCTTCTGGCGCGCGACCGTGAGCCGCTCCGTCGCGGCGATCTTCGAGCCGAACTCGAGCACGACCTGGGACTTGACGAGGATGGGCACGCCGCTCTTCGAGCCCTCGCACTTGTGGACGCGCGCGTAGACGCGCCAGTTCTGCCTGCGTGGACATCAAATCTTCAACCCGACTTCAATGTGCGCGTAATCGAACGGTCTGGACCAGACTCTTTAGCGGTGCTTCGAGGACTCGACGAGAGCAATCGATTCGTCCAAAAATCAGCCGAATCGACTTCGAATTGACCGAGCTCGATAATTTCAAAGTTTGGTCGGGACGTCCCAAACCCGCGGTCGATTTCCACACCGAGTTCTGCTTCTCCGAATCGCGCGCGTTCTCCTTCGAGCCGTCGTTGCGCCGCCGCGTCACGTAGGCCGCCACCAACACTTCGATGGGCGCGCCGGTCAACACCTCCTCGGAGTCGTCGTCGGCCGTCGCCCTGGCCCAGCGCGCGTGCTTGGCGACGCAGTGCTCGTACGAGTCGTGCTCGAAGCGGTACGCGGCCTTGTCGGAGAGCAGGTCGCAGATGAGGTTGCCGTCGGCGTCGTGGGCGTGAGGCGTCTTCGTGGGCTGGTCCGCCGCCGCCTTGGACTGCAGGTGCATCGTCGAGGGCAGCCTGAGGTCGACGGCCGCCGTCGCGCGGTTCGCGCCCGCGCGGCCGCCTGCGTGGAAATCAAATATTCAACCCGACTTCAATGTGCGCGTATTCGAATGTTTCGACGCGAAGCTTTCTGCCGCGCTTCGAGAACTCGACGAGAGCAATCGATCCGTCCAAAAATCAGCCGAATCGACTTCGATTTGATTGAGATAGAGAGTTCTGAAGTTTGGTGGGGACCCCCCAAACCAGTCGTTGATTTCCACACAGGCGGCCGCCCACGAGGGACCACTCGAAGCCCACGCGCGCCGCCGTCGGCGCGTCGGGCCACTCCGGGTCGTAGCCGTAGGCCTCGAACTCCGTGTTCACGGACTGGTACCAGTCCGTCGCGTGGATCGCCGCGGACCCGCGGTGCGCCTGGGCGGCACGAGAGTGATGCAACGTCGCTTCAACGTGAGTGTTCCGCGCGCGCGCATTACAAAACATACATCCACGCGTCGAGACCGTTCCGAGAGATGATCGCTCGTCCAAAAATCAGCCGAAACGAGTGGAACATGGCCGAGATCGGAGCCTTTGAAGTTGGGCATGTCGCTCTCTCGTGCCGCCCCGCGGCGCGCGTCGTCGTGGAGCGCGGTGAAGTCCGAGTTCTGCCCCCCGACGGCGACCATGGACGACGCCGTGTGGCCCGGCGGCAGGCCCCGCACGGCGAGCACGGCGACGTGGAGCGTGTAGGGCGCGAAGGCGCGGTCGTCGAAGCGGTAGAGCGTGTGCGCGCCGACCTTGTCCTTCCGCTCGCGGCCCATGCCCTGGTCCAGCGAGTTGCGCTTCCGCCGCGAGCTGGACACGTGCTTGACGAAGGACGCGGCGACGAGCTGCTCCCAGACGCGCCGCGCCTCCTCGCGCGTCTCCTTGGCGAGGCCCGCGCAGGTCTGCAAGGCCTCGACGGCGGCGCCGCTGGAGAAGACGTCGACGTGCACGCCGGGCACGCCGCGGGCGTAGATCTCCTTGGGCCTCCGCTCGAGCTTGTGGCTCAGCTCCACGGCCAGCGCCATGAGCGTCTGCATCTTCGGGCAGGACGCCATGGCGGCGCGCGCGGGACGATGTGTGACGCCGCCCCGCCACCCGAATGAGATCGGGCGAGGCAGCCCGTACTTGAACGGCAATCTGGAGTTTGTTGACGTAGGAGAGCATATGGAAGCGCCGGAAGTGGTCTGAAGTGGGAACGAGCCCCGTGGGAGATCATGCCCGCAGGCTCCTTCAAGGACTTCGTGAAAGCGCGGAAGCGGCGCGATGCGGAGGCGGCGGAGGCGCCTGTGATGCCCGACGCGGCCACCTCGGTCCCAGCTGCGCTCGAGGCGCCGATCGCGCCGGCTCCGACCGCGCGGCCTCCGCTCGAAGCGCCGCCGGCGATCGCGCCAGCTCCGGTGGAGGCGCCTCCGGTGCCAACTCCCACGGAGGCGCCGCCCGCCGCGCCGGCGGCCGCGCGAGCAGAGGCGCCGGCCGCGATGACGACGGCGGAGCGGCTCGAGGCGATGCGCACGGGACGACGGCGACCGCCGGTCGTGGAGGCGCCGCCCGCCGCGGCGCCGGCACCGGTCGCGCCGGCTCCCAAAGAAGTGGCTCCGTCGGCCGCGCCGTCTACGGTGGCCGCGCCTCCTCCCGCGGAAGCGCCGTCGGCCGCGCCTGCTCCGGCGCCGCCGGCCGCGCCTCCTCCGGCGCCGCCGGCGGCCACGCCTGCTCTAGCACCGTCGGCGGCCGCGCCTGCTCCGGCGCCGGCGGCCGCGCCGCCTGCTCCGGCGCCGGCGCCGGCGGCGCCGCCGCCGCGGGCCGCTTTCGCTGGCCTCTCGGCGACGACGGCGGCGAAGCTCGAGGCCATGCGGACGGGCCGGCGGCGCGCGCGCGGGGGTGCGCGGGCGGACTGGGTCCCGCCCCCGGCGGCGCCCGCGGCCCCGGCGGCGCCCGCGCCCGCGGCGAGGCCCGCGGCGCCGAGGCCCGCGGCGGACGCGCCCGCGCGGGCGACGCGGGAGATGCGCGAGGTGTTCATGGTCGTCGGCAAGCGGGGCGCGCTCGTGCGGGATGGCGTGGAGCTGAGCTCGGCGCTCGTGGGCGAGATCGCCTACGGCGAGCGCGTCGTCGTCGCGGAGCAGGGCTGGGAGATGTGCGGCGGCGAGCGGCTGCGCATCACGAGCCCCAAGGCCGGCTGGCTCTCGCGCAAGGTCGTCGCGCCGGCCGCGCGCGGCGCCGCGGCGCCGCGGCGCGCGCCGACGAAGTGGCGGCCCGCGGCGCCGCAGACGTTCCGCCGGGCGGCGCCGGCGCCGTCGGCCCCCAAGAGCGGCAAGGGCGCGCGGCACTCGCGGCGCGAGCTCGAGGGCCTGCTCACGCCGGCGGCCTTCCCGCGGTTCCTCAAGCTCCGCTGCGGCGTCTGCGACCGCAAGGCCACGGAGCGGCTCGAGGCGTACTCCGCGCTCGCGTGCAAGTACATGCTGTCCATGGTCTGGTGCGAGGCCTGCGGGTTGGCGCTCTGCGAGCGGCACCGGTCGAACCACGACTGCGCGGCCGACGGCCCGGACCCGGACAGCGGCCTCGACGCGCTCGGCGACCTGAGGGCGGAGCGCGCGGCCGCGGAGCGCGAGGCCGCGGCGCTGAAGCGGCGGCAGGCGAGCGCGGCCGCGGACCTGCACCACGTCGTCCGCGCGCAGCGCAAGGTCGTCGCGACGAAGGCGAGCCTCGTCGCGCGCTGGGCCCGCGCGCAGTACCTCAAGCCCGGCGCCGACGGCCGCAGCGACAGGATCTTCGCGGCCTTCGACCGCGCGCAGCGCGCTTCCGAGCTCCTCTGGGCCGAGTGGGAGCACCCGACGCGGCCGGGCATCGCCTACGACGAGTTCGAGCGCGTCGTCGAGGCCCACGCGGCGATCGAAAAGCTCACGGGCGAGCAGCTCGAGGGCGTCGACCTCGCCCTCACGCGGCGCCTCGCGGTCCGCGTCCGCTGGACCGCCGGCGGCGAGGCCGGCGACATGGACGTGCTCACGGACTCGCTCCCCGGCGACGGCGACGGCCCGCTGCGGGACGCCTGGCTCCACAACGTCCGTCAGCTCATCGCGCAGCAGCGCGGCCGCCGCCTCGACGACGTCGACGTCCAGGTCCTATCCGTCCGCGACGAGGACGACCACGCGGCGAACCCCCTCGCCGGCCGCCGGCCTTACTAAAAAAAAAAGGGACTCACTCGCCGGCCCTTCCTAAAAAAGCGCGCGCCTCACTCCTCGTCGTCGTCGAGCATGGCGTCGAGCACGGTGCACTTGAAGACGCGCGAGATGAGCTTCGAGGGCACGCGGTCCTCCGTGCAGCGGAGCTGGAGCGCCTGGACGACGCGCCCGCGCATGCGGACGCCGTACTCGCCGTCGCTCCGGAAGATGGGCGTGGCGATGGCGTTGGAGCGGTGGCGCATGTGGAGCGCGCACGCGTGGTCCGCGTCGTCGCGGACGCACGCGCACCGGTAGCCGAGCCGCGCGGCGCGCGTGGCCAGGTCGTAGTCCTCGCCGCACCAGCCGTCGTCGTGGAAGCCGACGCTGTCCGCGAGCTCGCTGCGGTACACAAAGGAGAAGCCGTAGGACCAGCGCCGGAGGTGGCGGCCCGCCTCCATGTCGTCGTCGGCGTCGTAGCGGTAGAGCCAGTCCGGGTCGTCGAGGACGTCGTAGTAGTAGAACGCGGAGAGCTTGACGAGGTCCGCCTTCTTCGAATCCAACGCCTTGACCATGCGCTCGACGTAGGTCGGCGCGTACAGGTCGTCGTCGTCGAAGTGCGCGACGATTTGCCCCATGGCCGCGTTCGCGAGCCAGTTCCGCTTGACGCCCACGCGCATGGGGTCGCGGTTCTCCGACGCTTCCTTCGGCGGCTTGCCCAGGCCGTCCCACTTGAGCGGCGGCTTCTCGTACTTGTGGACGTAGCGCACGCGGGAATCCCGCGCAACCTTTTTGGACGTAAACACGGGCGACGGCACGGGCGACGTGTCGTAGATGACCAGCTCCAGGTTCGGGTAGGTCTGCCACTTGAAGCACTTGTAGAGCGCGCCGTGGAGGTGGTGGCGGCTCGCCGTCGTCGGGCAGACGCAGGACACGAGCGGCGCGCCGCGGCCGGACGCGCCGTTGCTCAGCGTAAAATTGCCCACGACGCGTTCGCCCGCCTGCGCCGCGGACGGCAGCCGCGGCGACCGCTTCGTCGCCCGGGTCTTGGCGTCGCCCCCGGCGAAGTCGCCGCTGCCGGAGTCGTCGAACATGGGCGCGATCGTCGGCGCGACCTCCGGCTCGGGCTTCGGCGGCATGTTCAGCTCCAGGAGCTTGGACCACTCGTCCTCGTCGTGGTCGAGGCGGAGCTTCAGCTCGCGCATGCCCTCGGCCAGGCTCCCCCGCTCGACGTCGCGCATGGCCTCGGCGTGCGTCCGCCGCTCGAGCTCGTCGTAGTGGTCCATCTCGTTCATCGCCCGCAGCGCGTAGCCCTCGAGGCCGCCGCTGGCCTCGAACATGCGCTCCTCGTAGACGTCGACGGGCATGGACGCGCCGGGCTTCGACAGGTCGTAGTCGCGCGTGTCCCGTTTTTTGGGCGGCGGCACCCAGTCCGGCGGCTTGTAGGGCCGCGCGGACAGCGGGCTCACGAACTCGGCGCCCTCGCACCAGGCGCTCAGTTCGCCGAGGTGCTCCGGCGGCTCCCACTCGGCGACGTCGTCGCCGTCGCCGTCCTCGGGCACCGTCGCCGCCTTGAGCCGCGCCTGGATCTTCTCGCGCTCGTGGCGCGCGCGCCGCGCCTTGCGCCGCTTGTCCTTCTCGGCCGCGGCCTTGGTGGCGTCGCCGTCGCCCTCCTCGGGCGCGTCGCGGTCGTCGCCCTCGTCGACGCCCTCCTCCTCGGCCTCGAGGCCGGGCTCCTGCTCGGGGTCGTCGGGCCGCTCGGGCGGCGGCGGCGACCCGCCGCGCTCGCCGGGCGGCGGCGACGCGCCGCGCGGCGCCGCGGCGCCGTCCTTCGGCGCGGCGTCGCGCCCGCGGCGGCCCTCGTCCTTGCAGGCCTTGAGCAGGTTCGCGCTCGTCCAGCCGGCCGCCGGCGAGCACACGCGCACGCGCGCGAGGCCCTCGACCTCCACGGGGGCGACCGACGCGTCGACCTCGACGCGGTCGCCCTTCTTGAGGGACGCGACGACGGCCGAGTCCAGGGCGCTGTCCGACCGGATGACGGCGCCCCGGCTCGACCGCACCTTCATCAAGGTCGTCGCCGACGGGCCGGCGAAGGAGGCCATCGGGTTTTGGGGTGCGCGGTGGGCGGCGCGCGGACGAAAGCGTCTACCACAGCCTCTCGAGCAAGTGGTCTATGGGCGGCGGCGGTGTGTGCCGCGGACGAAGTCGTCTTCGACGACGAGCCACAGCCTCTCACGCAAATTCATCCTGGGTCAATGAGCTCAGCGTCGGTTTATTGACGCGAGGCAGAGTCGAATGTAGGCCCGCGGCAGCCCCCTTTTTTGGCGGCATGATGATGCGCCACCGCTGCGTCATTACAACATTGCTCCTCACAGCGACCAACAGCGCCATCGTCACGACGTTCCTGCCGGGCCAATTCAACGCCGCCGTCACGGGCCTCGCCGCACCATTCACCCTAAACAATGTCGCCTACGACGGCGTCGCCGCGCGCAACGAGCAGTTCCCGCCGCGGCACGCGACCTGCCTGAAGGAGCTCGGCATCACCCTCGCCCTCGTGAGCACGACGACCTGGGCCTCCCGCGACGTCGCGCGCTTCGGTCCGGGCGACGCGGCCCGGACCTGCCGCGACGCGCGGAACTTTCGCGTCAACGGCCCCGAGGACGCGCGGCTGCTCGCCCTCAACGCGACCCATGTCCTCGCGCTCTACGCCGACTTTGCGCGCGGGAGCCGGCGCATGTTCCGCCGCGCGCTCGATGTGCGGGGGTTCCGCCTCTCGGAGCCTCTGGAGCTCTCGTTCGCGCGCGAAGCCGCCGGCCGCCTCGGCGCCGTGGAGAAGAACTGGTCGCCCTTCCGGCGGGGCGCCGACGTCTACGTCTGGCAGTGGCTCGACGACGCGAACGGCGCGAGCGCGGTGCACCGCCTTCGCGTCGACGCGGCGCGACTCGAGCCCGTCGCGGCGGTCGCGGGCGCGGGCGCGGCGCTCCGCGAAGCCGTGCTCGGCGCCGGCGACGCGCGGCGCGCCAAGCTCTCGGGCGGCGCGCCGCCCGCGCGGCTCAACGGCTCCCACTACCTCGGCGTCGGCCACGTCCAGCGCCACCGGCGCTGGTACACGCTCTTCGCTTACTGGTTCGCGGCGGAGCCGCCCTTCGGCTTCGCCGCCGCGACGCGCGAGTTCCGCTTCGCCGTCGCCGCCGGCGGCGAGACAGTCCTGGACTACGACGTCGCGACGAAGCCCGGCGTCGAGGATATGATCCAGTTCCCCGTCGGGCTCGTCGTCGACGGCGAGCGCGCGCTCGTGACCTGGGGCACGAACCGCAACACGGAGTCCCGCGCGACGCGCGTGGCGCTGGCGGAGCTGGAGAAGGGGGCGCGGGTCGTGGGGCGATAATGCATCATCTCGCAATTAAGAGGAGCGCGGCGAGCGCGGCGCCGCGCGCGAGCGACGCCGCGGCCGCTCCGCTGACGTCCGCGACGTCCGCGACGACGTCGTCGTCGTCGGCGTGGTGGTGGTGGTGGTGGTGGCCGCCGTCGTCGTCGGCCCCGTTTGGACAGGCGTCGAAGAAGAGGGGCGCGTGCTCGTCCGGGCAGAGCCCGCAGCTGCGCTCGCACTCGGCGCTCACGAGCGTCTGCGTCTCCTCGAGGACGTCGTCGCAGGCGCGCTGCGACGTGAGCGCGGCGCAGTCGCAACTCACCGCATCCCTCCGCACGCTGCAGAGCAGCGACGAGGACAGCATGTCCTCGCAAGGCCGCTCCGGCTGCCCCGGGTCGTCGTCGCAGGCCTCGCAGGGCGCCGCGATATCGAGGCCCCGGCCCTCGAGCCAGTAGTAGAGCCAGGCGACCTCCGCCCGCTGCGTGCGCGAGATGTTGGCACAGAGATTTTCCAAATAATCGTCGACGTCCGGCTCGTGCTCGAGGAGGATCTCGCACATGCGGACCGCGCCCGAGTGGTGCGGGATCATCATGCGGGAGAAGTCGACGGCGTGGTCGCAGCCGACGTCGACGGCCATGCCCGCGTGCATCTCGCGGTTCGCCTCGACGGACGCGGCGGACGCGTTCGCGGCGATGGCGCCGCAGCCGTCGGACGTCGCGGCGGGATCGCCGTCGCACGACGCGGCCTCGTCGTCCCCGCGCGCGTCGAGCCAGCGCCGCATGCCCGCGATCTCCATGTCCTGCGAGTAGTGGACCTCGTTGCAGAACATGACGAGCCCGTCGAGGTCGTCGTCGTTCGTCGCGCACGTGAGATTCTTGAGCAGCGCGTCGCACATGGCGACCGCGCCCTCGTGGTGCGGGATCATGCCGCGCACGAAGTCCAGCGACGGGTCGCCGCTAAAGTCCAGCGCCATGGCCTCGTGCATGCCCACGTTGATGCCATCCCAGAGCTCGGCGGCCGCGGGGCACTCCGCGCCGCCGCAGCCCATCATCATCTCGTAGGCCGCGCAGTCGTCGCACGTCGCGCCGAGCTCGCAACTCTCCGAAGCCTCGCCGACGACCGCGATGTCGGTGCCGTCGCACGTCGCGACGGGCAGCGCCGCCGCGTAGTCGCCGCCCAGTTTCTCCGAGAAGTCGTCGAGGTCCCGCGAACAGTCCGGCTCCGCCAGGTCGAACGGCATCCAGAAGTTCTCGACCCAGTTGCCCATCGCGATGCCGATCTTGCCCGACGTGTGCTCCTGGAACCAGACGACGGTGTAGAACGTCTCGCCCGACACGGGCAGCGCGTTCTTGTCCGCGTCGAGCACGCGCCAGCTGTGCGTGTCGCCGTAGGGCTCGTAGAAGTCGCAGCGGCCGTCGCGCACCGTCGACGCGTCGCGCATGACGTCGTCGAGGTGCGCGCACGACGACTGGTCCGCGGGGCTCAGGTGTAGGTAGCCGTTGGGCACGAAGGCCTCGTCGGCCTTGACGGCGTCCGGGATGGCCGCGAGCTCCGCGGCCGTGAGCGTTGGCAGGCTCGCGCCGATGACGACCGCGTCCGCGCGCAGCGACGCGTGGCGCTCCGTCGGCGGGATGCCCACGCCGACGTAGTACTCGAAGCCCGCGCTCGGGCTCGTGCCCGTCATCCACACAGCTCTGTTCGTGCAGTCGAGGTAGTGCTTCATGGACCAGGAGATGTCCGCCGACGGGATGGGCAGCGCCGTCGCCGAGCTGCCAAAGTCGCCATCACACGAGGGGATGGTTGTGGCTCGGCGGTGCGCGTGCGCGAGGCCGAGGAGCAGCAGACAGCGGCTTTGGAGCAGCGAACATCGGCCTTCAGGCGTGCTCATCGTGTCTGACGAGGGGCAACCCTTGGGAAGACAGAGGGTGAAGCCGTTCCTGATGATGTTCTTGCCACTGGCGAGCCTGCGAGCAGCCGATGCCTCGGCTCTAGACGTCTAAAGACGAGGGTGCCCCGGCTCTAGACGAGGGTGCAAAGCCCATCGATGCCTCGAAACTGCGACGCCATGGACGCCGAGGACCTCTTCGAGCTCTGCGGCTTGAAAGAGGACGACGTCGTGGGCACGAGCGACGAGCCGGAACCCGCTGCGAGCGACGAGCCGGTCGCCATCGCGCTGCCATTGCCGGCACCGCCCGCCGCCGCTGCGAAGAAACGCCACCACCCCCAGCAACGCGTCGAAGACCCCCGCCGCTGCCGCAGCGCCATCGCCGGCGACGCGAACCGGCCGCCGGACGTCTACGTCGCGCGGCGCGTCGAAAAGGGCGGCGTCGGGCTCCACGCCGCTCGCGACTTCGCGCCCGGCGAGATCGTCGTCGTCGAGACCGCGGCGGCCGCGGCGCCGCTCACGGGCGTGCGCCACTGCGACGGCTGCCTGCGGTCGCTCGCGTCCATGGCCGACGCGGGCGTCGCCGGCGACGCGCTTTACTGGCCCGTCGACGCGGCCGGCGCCGAGACCTGCGGCCGCTGCGGCGCGAGCCTGTGCCGCGGCTGCGCCAAGTGGGCCCGGCGCAACTGCTGCGCGCGGCGCGCCGTCGACGCGACGGTCGACGGCGCGCGGCCGGCGCTCAGGCTCGCGCTGCGGCGCTTCGCGGACGCGGCCGCGGGCTTCGAAGACGACGGCGCGCTCGCGGGCCTCTGCGGCCGACCCGGCGACGCCGACGCCCTCGGCCTCTTCGACGCGAGCGGCGGCGCGGCCGCCTGCCGCGCCGCCGCGGCCGCGGCGCTCGCGGAGGTTTCGCCGGCGGCGAACCCGCCGTCGGCCGACGCGCTCGCGGCGGACGCCGCGCGGCTCGCGCTCAACAGCTTCGACGTGCGCCTCCGGTCGCCCTACGTCGAGTTCCACGGCGCGCTCGCGCGCCGCCACGGCCGCGGCTCGAAGGCGCTGCGGGAGGCCCTCGGCGTCGCGGGGTTGGAGCGGGATGCCGACGAGGCCCTCCGCGCGCGCTGCGCCGTCGACGCCGTCGGCGCCTTCGCGTTGGTGGCGTGCGCGAACCACGACTGCTCCCCGAACTGCGACGCCGCGTCGGACTTCGACGCGCCGACGATGCAGCTCGTCGCGAACCGCGCCATCGCTCGCGACGAGGAGCTCACGATCTCCTACTTCGACCGGAGGGCCGTCGAGGGCGGCGGCGGCGACGCCGCGGCGAACGCGCGGCGGCGCCGGCGCTACCTCCGGCGGAACTACCTCTTCGACTGCGGCTGCGACGCGTGCGCGAGCGGGAGCGGCGGGTAAGTGGTGTGGTGTTTAACGCTCATCGGCGACGCGTACGACCGCAGTCGGTCGAAATTTGCTACTCGTCGGCGCGCTCCATCATCGCGTCGAAGACGGCGCGGTCCGCCGCGCTGAGGTTCGCGCGGACGAGGCTCGCGGCGTCGGCGAGGCAGGTGCGGAGCGGCATGGAGGCGGGCGCGTGGTCGTAAAGCCCGAGGCCCATCGGGTCTTCTTCAACTCGCTCCTTGGCGATCTCGAACGCTTCCTCGCAGCGTTCCACGGTCGTGATTCCTTCCCGAAGATGCCGCGAATAGTAGTGGTCTCGAACGGACGGGACGCGCGATCGTGGATTCAAGAACCAGCAAAATCCGAGAACGTGTAGAAAGATCGCGTCGTCGCGAAGAAGGAAGAAGCGATCGACCAGAGTCATCTCGCGCCGCTGCCGCTTGTGGCGCGCCTTGGTGGCGAGGATGCGGAGCACGAGCATGTCGCGCGCCCGCTCGGCTCGCCATTTCTTAAAACTGCCTGCATTGGCGACGTCGACGAGAAACATCAGCGTCGGGAAAAGTCCATCGTGAAGTGTTCGGGCGCGCGCAGTGTTGGCATATTCCGAATCCGCACACATTTCGACGACGCTCTTGTGCCCGTCACCGTAGGCGGCATCGTCCACATTCAGCTCTTTATTCGCCGCGAGCGCATGATAGGTGAGCTCGAGCCCCCCGAGTCGCGCGAGCTTGTTCAGCACGTGCCGTCGCGGGGGGCCGTTTCCGTCTTCGAGGTCTAGACCGGGGTACCACCAGGACTCGTCGTCCAACCGGGAGTCGAGCGAGAGCGCGCGCACGCACTCCGCCAAGCTGTGATTGATGCGTCCTCGGAACGTCGGAATCCCCGAGCCGCAAAATGAGAGCATCGGCCCGCCGAGCGCGCAGCGCGCGTTTACGTCGGCGCGGCCGTCGCTCAGGAGGACTTTCACGACCGCCGGCCGACCGGCGAGGCACGCGTAATGCAAAGCTGTCGCGCCGCCGCCTACCTCGAGCGGCTGCTCGTCGTCGGCGCAGTTGATGTAGTCACCGCAGACCGCGTTCACGACGCTCGCCGAGCACTGCCGGAGCGCCAGGACGCGCGCCACCGCGTCGGCGTCGCCCTCCCACGCAAATTGGTGGAGGATCGTCACCGCACTATGGGAAAGATATCCCCAGACGACGCAGACGCTCCGCCACTCGGGATCCTTGCCTCCGAGATCGTGCTCGCGACTCCAAAGTTCCGTCAAGACGACGCGCTGGCCGAGCGTTTGCTCGTTGGCCGAAGACGCGACGGCGAGCAGCACGTCGCGCGCGCGCCGACGCCGGCCCGCGTCCGCGCATACGTTCCGCGGCAGCCGCGCGGCGAGGCAGAGGTGTCCCGCGGAAGCCGCGAACCCGTTCGCCGCGGCGACATCGAGATGGCGGCGGACGCCGTCGATATCGGCCTCCTTGATCAAAACGCTCAGCACGCTGCCAAAGCCATAGACCCCGTTGCCGTCGCCGATGGCGAGCTCGTCGAGCAGCAGCGCGCAGTCTTCGCTCTCCTCCGGGAACACATCGCTGTCGCGCATTGACTGATCTGCGCAGCGGTTGTCAGCGCAAGGTGCCAACATGATGGTCGCGGAAATATGGGGGGAGTGGCGCTACTGCGGCGGCTGAACGCAGCTGGGGCTGTCGGCTGCGACGCGCCGGCGGCTCCCATACGAACTTGGGCTGCACCAACGGATGGTGAAGCTCGCGTGAAGTTGTAGTGAGTAGCCGACAGGCCTGCTGGGACCCGAACACGCTTAGGCGCCCCCCGACGGCGGCGGCGGCGGCGGCGGCGGCCACGCGCCCGGTGCGGCGGGCGCGACGGCGAAGGAGTAGGGCTCCGCGCCGCGCGTCGCGACGAGGGTCAGCCAGAAGGCCGCGGTCGGGTACTCGTGGAAGAGGTCGAGGTAGACGTCGACGATGGCCGCGGCGTCGTCGATGGGGAAGTTGAGGAGCTCCTCGGGCTCGCGCGCGCCCGGCGCGCGGCGGAGCACGACGACGTGCGGCGGGTAGCCGATGGCCGCGAGCTGGCGCCGGTAGGCGCCGCAGTCGAGGATGTTGTCGGGCTGGACGGCGAGGTGGCGCGGGCTTCTCGCGGCCTGCGCCGCCCAGGCCGCGTGGACCGTGGCGTCGCAGGACTTGGTCGCCTCGCGCGCGCGCGGCGTGAGGTGCGACCCCCGGAGCTGCTCCGCGAGGTCGCGCAGGCCCTTGAGGCGGCCGAAGAAGGCGCGCGGCGGCTGCCAGAAGCAGTGGACGCTGCCCGCGTACTGCTCCGCGCGGAAGCCGAGGTGGAACTGGGCGACGCGGCGCGGGTCGTCCATGGCCGTCGTCGGCGCCCGCGGCACGTCGATCTCCGCCGCGAGGAGCACGCGCCCGCGCAGGGCGCCGTCGTCGGACCGGCGCGCGAGCTCCATGACGCAGCGCTGGCCCAGCAGGTCCAGCCGCAGGTAGCAGGCGCCGGAGGTCGGGCAGGCGGGCTCGACGGCCTGCTCGAGGAAGTCGCCGTCGCTGGGCCAGGGCCGGAACGCCGGCGCGGTCCGCGTCACGTGCTGCCAGAACGCGTCGCAGAACTCGGTCGGGTCGTCGAGCTCGCCGACGTCGTCCGGCAGCGCGACGCTGTTGTCGACGATGGCCGCCATCGCGTTCGAAAAGCTGCCCGCTTGGTGCGTTTGGGGAAATGGGCAGCCCTCTCCGGCCGCGCCCGTGGTGGACGCCGAACGCCGACGATGTCGCGGCGCGACAACCCCTACGTGTTCCTCGAGATGTCCGAGGGCGTGGGCCGCGTCGTCTGCGAGCTCTTCGCGGACACGGTGCCGCGCACGGCGGAGAACTTCCGCGCGCTCTGCACCGGCGAGTGCGGGCGGTCCAAGGAGACGGGCCTGGGCCTCTGGTACGGCGGCAGCGCGATCCACCGCATCGTCCCCGGCTTCGTCGCCCAGGGCGGCGACATCGAGAACGACGACGGCACGGGCGGCGAGTCCATCTACGGCACCGGGGGCTTCGCGGACGAGTCGTTCGCGGCGCGGCACCACAAGGAGGGCCTCCTGTCCATGGCCAACAGCGGCCGCAACAGCAACCACTCCCAGTTCTTCATCACGCTGGACCGCTGCCCCCACCTCGACGGCAAGCACGTCGTCTTCGGCAGGCTCGTCGACCCCATCCGCTTCATCCGCCGCCTCGAGAAGCTCGGCACGCGCCGCGGCACGCCGAAGAAGCCCGTCGTCATCACGAACTGCGGCGCCGCGGAGAAGCCCGCCTACAGCAACCGCGACCACAACCGCCCCGGGCGGCTCGGCTCGGGCCGCAGCCGGAGCCGGAGCCGCGACCGCGACCGCGGCCGCCGGGACCGGTCCCGGTCGCGGGACCGGGGCACCTACCGCCACCCGGACGCGAACAAGCTCGCCAGCGGCTACGCGCTCCGCCCGCCGCCCCAGGACCCGGGCCGGCGGCCCCAGGCCGCCGCGATGATCCTGCCGCCGCGGCACCCGACGGACCCGAACGTGCGCTGCGACGTCTGCAAGCGCAAGGGCAGCTCCTGCGTTTGCTAAGAGGAGCTTATTTGCCCCCCCCCGCGGCGCCCCCCGGTCCCGCGCGCGGCGAGGGGCTACCTCGCGCCGGTCCGAGGCGCCCCGCCGGAGAGGATCGACTGGCGGAGCCGTCGTCGCTCCTCGATGGCCTTCTGCTGGAAGTCGTTGACGACGGCCAGGCTCTCCTCGGAGACGATGGCCAGGCTCTCCTCGGAGACGGCGACCGCGGGCGCATCGGGCAGCCGCGGCGCGCCGGCCGCCCACGCCGCATCGGCGCCGGACGCGCGTCGCTGCATCCCGTCGACCATGGCGAACTCGGCCCAGGCGTCGTCCTCCGTACGAATCAAGGGGATGCGATACTGGCCGAAGACGGAGAGCGACGACGGGACGCGCTTCGCGGAGCGCATTTTTATGCCCTACTTGTTGTTGTGTGGCTGGGGCTGCAAGAGGGTGGTTGGGGCTGCCCCGTGTTTTAGGAGAGACGACTGTCGGGGGCTGCACACTGGTTTCGGAGGATGGTCGGGGCTGCAGTGGCTCCGAGAGACCACTCCCACGCGCTGCTCCCGCGCCAATGCGCGGTGATTGGCCTGAAAAAGATGATGTCCGCGGAACGCAGTGCTACGAACAAAAAGCGACGTTGTAGGTCAACACCGTGATGCTGCCGCATTGCTGGCGAGGCGACGCTCTCCGAAGCCGCTGCGCCGTCAAAGAGGCGACGCGATGCCGGCCAAGAAGAACAAGAATGCCGCGAAGCAGCAGAAGGCGACGGCGCCCGCGTCGAGTGAAGTCGCGGAATTCAGCGCCAAGATGCTGCTGAGCGAGGTCGAGAGCCCCGAGACGGAGTGCGTGCGGCGCTGCAAGGCGGCCCAGGAGCTGCGCGACCTCGCGACGAGCGACGCGGCGGCCTTCGCCGTGCTCAAGGGGTCGGACGTCGTCGCGGCGTGCTGGCGCCTCGTCGGCGACGCGACGACCGGCGCCGAGGACGTCGCCGCGCTCGTCGCGAAGCGCGACGCGAACCGCGACGCGATACTACCGTCCGTGCTCGACGCGCTCGCGGAGCTCGCGCTCGTCAAGGTGCCCCATCTCCTGGGCCAGCAGATGTCGTCGCTCGTCACCGTGCTCGCCGTCGCGCGCAAATGCGGCGCCGCGGGCGCGCCGTCGGAGCGCGCCGCGCCGGAGCGGCTCGCCTTGCTCGCCGCGACGCGGTGGCTCGCGGCCATCTCGACGCACCCCGTCACGACGCACCTCCTCAAGAGCGGCCTGTGCGACCTGCTCAAGGAGTGCTTCACGATGCGCACGGACCAGGAGGTGCTGCTCCAGTGCTGCGTGCTCGCGGCGAACGTCGCCGCGGACGGCGGCGCGCAGGCCCAGGCGCTCTGCGAGGCGCGGCTGCCGCGCCTGATCTCGCGCCTGCTCGTGGCCTCGTGCGCCGCGGAGCTCAAGGAGCACGCCGTCGCCGCGCTGAACCGCGTCGCGAACGCCGCGTGCGACGAGGACCTGGGCCAGGCGGAGACCATCGGGCCGCTGGCCCTGGCCAAGCTCGCGACGTCCGACCGCAAGCCCTGCGCCGCCGAGGGCATCTGGGCCTTGCACATCCTCGCGACCAAGGGCGGCGACGGCATCGCGCGGCAACTCGCGCGGCTCAAGCCCGTCACGGACGTGCTCTCGGCCGTCTGCATCGCGCGCGAGCTCGAGGACGCGGACCTCGCGCTCGCGGGGCGCGTCGCGGCGATCACGCTCGACGACCTCAACAAGCTCAAGGCCGCCGACGAGCCCCCGGCGCCCAAGGCCGCCGGGGACGAGCCCCCGGCGCCGCCGCCGGCGCCGTAGGTCGCGTCCGGTAAATTCGCCCCTCGTCTCTTACGCGGCCTCCGCGGGCGCCGTCGCCTCGGCGTCGTAGCCGCCCTCGACGGCGGCGTCGAGCGCGTCGACGCCGTCGTCGTCGTCGCCCGCGCCGTCGTCGTCGAGGAGGTCGAGGAGGTCGCGCTTCTTCGACGTGAGCGACGCGCCGCGCCGCGCGGCGTCGACGTCCTTGTCGAACTGGAGCCGCGCGGCGGCGTCGCCCTCGAACTTGGCCACGGCCGCGTCGGCCTGGTCGTCGACGGCGCCCAGCAGCGCGGCCTCGGCGTCCGGGTCGTCGTCGCTCGAGCTCGCGTCGTCGCCGTCGCGCGCGCGCCGCGCGCGCCGCGCCTCCTTGGCCGCGAGCTCGGCGGCCCGCAGCTTCGCCACGGTCGCCTCCTCGACGACGGCCTCCTTGGCCGCGAGGCTCGGGTCGTTGTCGTCGCGGAAGCCGTAGTAGTCGGGCGTGACGTGCTTGAACATGTCGCCGCGCGTGCGCCGCTTCTTCACGGGCGGCGGCGCCTCGAAGAGCTCCTTGACGCCCGGCAGGTCGCGCGCGGCGCCGAAGTACTTGTAGCCGCCGCCGCCGGGCAGCGGCCGGCCCTCGGCGTCCAAGGCCTTGGGCTCGAGCGCGTTGTAGTCCGGGCCGCCGAGGTCGCGGATGCGGAACTGCCAGTGGCCCTTCTCCCGGAGCAGCTTGTTGATCGTGTCGTTGAGGTCGCGGATCTTGTGCTCGCCGAGGCCCTGGTTCTGGATCTCCGCGACCTTGCGCGTGATCTCCCGCATGATCTGCAGCCGCCACTTCTCGCAGTCCGCGAGCGACTTGCAGTCCGTCGCGAGGAACGGCCGCCGCTCGGCGATGTTCCCCGCGTTGAACTCCTGCTTCATCGTCACCCACTTGTTCAGCATCTGCTGCGCCTTCTCCTCATTGCGCGCCATGGCTCGGGGGGCGGCGCGCGCGACGCGGGTTCGGCGGCGAGCGTGCGCGCGGCGTCGTCCGCGGACGAGGTTGCGTCCCTCCGGTGTGTGTTGGCACCCGGGGGCGCGTCTCGGCGCGGGTGTCGGCGTAGACCGCGATGCCGATGAGCTTGGCGCCTTGGTTGATCCTTGGTTGATGCGGGCCAGGGTCGATGGTGAAGCTCGTGGGAGGCACGGTGGGCAGCCGATGCCTCATCCTGCTTGCTAGCGCCGCCGCCGCGCCCTGCGACATCTACGCGGCGATGTACGGCCTCATCCTGCTCGCCAGCGCCGCCGCCGCGCCCTGCGACATCTACGCGGCCGGCGGCACGCCGTGCGTCGCGGCGCATTCCATGGTGCGGCACCTCTACGACGCCTACGCGGGCCCGCTCTACCGGGTCCGACGCGCCGACGACAACGCGACGCTCGACGTCGGCGTCGGCGGCGTCGCGCGCCAGGACGAGTTCTGCGCGAGGTCGCTCTGCCGCGTCGCGCGCATCTTCGACCAGTCGTCGCGCGAGAACGACCTGGTCGTCGGCATCGCGGGCTCGTCCGGCGGCCGGCGGCCGGACGCCGGCGTCGTCGCGAATCGCTCGCTCGCGTCCGCGGCCGGGCGGCCCGCCTACGCCGCCGTCTTCGAGGGCGGCGAGGGCTGCCGGACGAGCGGCGCGACGGGCGTCGCGACGGGCGACGCGCCGGAGACCGTGTACGCGGTCCTCTCCGGAGACTACTACAACGACGCGTGCTGCTTCGACTACGGCAACGCCTATCCCGACGCTCGGGACCACGGCGCGGGCACGATGGAGGCCATCTACTTCGGCAACAAAACCAAGGAGACGTGGAGCCGCGGCGCCGGCGCCGGTCCCTGGGTCCAGGCCGACCTCGAATCCGGCCTCTGGGCGGGCAACGAGAGCGTGAACGAGCGCAACGTGCCCGTTACGTCTCGCTTCGTGACGGCCGTGCTGAAGGGACGCCGGGGCGGTTTCGTCCTCAAGGCCGGCGACGCGACGCGGGGCGCGTTGCGCACGCTCTACGAGGCCATGTCGCTGGGAGGCGCGGTGGTCCTCGGCACGGGCGGCGACAACTCCAACGGCGGCGTCGGCGCGTTCTACGAGGGCGCGATCACCGCGGGCTTCGCCAGCGACGAGACCGACGCCGCCGTCCAGGCCGACGTCGTCGCCGCGGGGTACGCGTAACAACGGCATCGCGACCTACCGGAACTTACGGAGCCAGGGCGCGACCTTGGCGTAGTAGATCTGGAGGTTGTTCTTGTGCTGGCGCGTGTAGTACTGGTGGACGATGTGGAGGACCTCGCCCGTGTGCGCGTTCGTGAGCTCGTCGTTCGCGTTGCGCGACGGCCAGGCGTAGTGGCCCATGGACACGGAGTGGGCCATGTCCGGGAAGCAGACGACTTTGTCGCGGCCCCGCCGCTCCGCCTCGAGGTACCGCGCGTAGTTGACGAGCCCCTGGTCCGACTCCCAGTAGCCGCAGGCCTCGGCGGAGCGCACGACCTCCTCCGCGAGGCTCAGCACGGCTCGTCGGCCGCCGAGGAAGATGCCGCCGTTCGCGTAGACGCCGCCGAACGCGTCCTGCACTGCGTCCAGCAGCGCGGGCGCCTTCCGCGCGTCGTCGGCGCACTCGTCGAGCCGCTGGCGGAAGTAGCGCTCGCCCTCGGGGAACGTGTCGCCGCGGTCGCCGAAGAAGAGGAGCTCCGCCGCGCCGTAGCGGCGCGACAGGTCGAACGGGTCGCGCTGGAAGAAGACGTCGGAGCCGTCGGCGACCATGACGCGCTCGACGCTGTCCGGCATGGACCGCAGCACGGACGCGTACCAGACGTGGCGCAGGCAGTTGCCCGAGAAGCGGCCGTCCGACCCCCGGAGCGGCACGGATCCTCCCGAATCCGTCGCGAACGGGCCGTCGCCGACGGCGACGATGCGCCAGCCGGCGTCCCTCGCCGCGATGCGCTGAATCACGGGGTCGACCATGTCGTCGCGCGGCGTGATCACATAAATCAGATCCGCCGGGTTCGCCAGGCGGAAGGAGGCGACCGTGATCTGGCAGCCCTTCACGTGGGACGCGACGCTGTGGCGCTTCGTCGAGATGGCCGGATCGGCGAAGCAGACGACGACGAGCGCGTTCGTCGCGTTCGTCGCCGACGATGCGGCGAGCGTCGCTGCCAAAAACAGGGCGCTGTAGCGGATGACCGCCATCGTCGTGGGGCAGCCAAGCCCGTGGTTCCGGCTCGTTGACGAGATGTTGATGGACAGCGATTCACCGTGCTTGTGGCAGCTCGTGTCTTGGCCGGCAGCAGCAACCGGCACCGTTCCCAGCGCCGCTCTTGTCTTGGCCTGCAGCAGCAACCGGCGCCGTTCCCAGCGCCTTTGGCAGCTCGCGCGCAATGGAGCTCGCCCCGGCAAAAGAAGGCAGGTACCAGGCCGTCGCGCCGGTCAAGGAGGAGGGCGCCGAGGCGGTCGCCGCGCCGACGCCGCCGACGATCCCCTTCAAGAAACTCTTCAAATTCCGCGACGAGAAGGACTCGCTGGCCATCGGGATCTCCTGCGTCTTCGCGCTGCTCCAGGGGTCGTCCATGCCCATGTTCACGGTCATCCTCGGCGACGCGACGGACGCGATGGGCGGCGAGGAGGACGGGAGCTACGCGCGCGAGATGCGCGAGCCGCTCAAGATGATGGGCTTCCTCATGGTCTTCATCTTCATCACGGCGACGACGCACTCGGGCCTCCTCGAGTGGAGCAGCCAGCGCCAGGGCGCGCGGCTCCGGCGCGCGTACCTCGAGGCCGCGCTCACGCGGGACCAGGCGTGGTTCGACGTCCACGACGCCGCGGCGCTGCCGACGCGCATGGCCGTGGAGTGCGCCAAGGTCGTCGACGCCATCGGGCCCAAGTTCGGGCTCGTCGTCGTCCCCCTGGGCCAGTTCGTCTCGGGCATGGTCGTCGGCCTGGTCAAGGGCTGGCAGCTGAGCCTCGTGATCATCTGCTTCCTGCCCGTCATGGCGCTGTCGGCGCTGCTCATCGCCAAGGGCGCCCGGCTCGAGGCGGAGCAGTCCTGGTACGCGCGCGCGGGCGCCGTCGCCGAGGAGGTGCTCTTCAGCATGCGCACCGTCGCCGCGTTCGGCGCGGAGCGGCGCGAGCGCGCGCGCTACGAGGCGCTGCTCGACGGCGCGGCGCGCGGCGGCACGGTCGGCGGCCTCTACGCGGCCTCGGGCTTCGCCTGGCTGTTCTCGGCCTTTGGCCTCTCCTACGCGGCGGCCTTCTGGTTCTCCGGCCGCTACTTGTTCCGCCAGGGCGACGCGGCGGTCTTCGACGGCGGCGGCGACGTCATCGAGGTCTTCTTCGCGGCGATCATCGGCGTGTCCTCCGTCTCCGACGCGGCCATGCCTCTGAACGTCATCGTCGGCGGCCTCGCCGCGGGCGCGAACCTCTTCGGCGTGCTCGAGGCGTCGAGCGCCATCGAGCCGGGGCCGACGGGCGGCGGCGCCGAGGAAGCGCCGCTCGCGGTCGACGAATTGCGCTTCGACGGCGTCCGCTTCGCCTACCCGTCGCGCCGCGACGTCGAGGTCCTCGCCGGCGTGTCCTGCGCCATCAAGCGGGGCCAGAAGGTCGCGTTCGTCGGCGAGAGCGGCTCCGGCAAGTCGACGGTCGTGCAGCTCCTGCTGCGCTTCTACGACCCGTCGGGCGGCGCGATCCTCGTCGACGGCGCGGATCTGCGGACGCTGGGCGTCGCGCGCTGGCGGAGGACCTTGGGCTACGTCGGCCAGGAGCCCGTGCTCTTCCAGGGGTCCATCCTCGAGAACATCCGCGTCTCCGACAAGGCCGCGTCGACGGAGCGGTGCCGCGCGGCCGCGAAGATGGCCGAGGCGTTGGAGTTCGTCGACGGCCTGCCCGAGGGCTTCGACACGGCCGTGGGCCAGGGCGGCGGCGCCCTGAGCGGCGGCCAGAAGCAGCGCGTCGCCATCGCGCGCGCGCTCCTCACGACGCCGAGCCTCCTGCTCCTCGACGAGGCGACGTCCGCGCTCGACAACGCGAGCGAGAAGCTCGTCCAGTCGACGCTGGACCACCTCCAGGAGCGCGGCGGCATGACGACGCTCTCCGTGTCCCACCGCCTGTCGACGGTGCGCAACGCGGACGCCATCTTCGTGGTTTCCGGCGGCGTCGTCGCCGAGGCGGGCACGCACGCGGAGCTCGTGAAACGGGAGGGCATCTACCACAAGCTCACGGCGGCCCAGGACGCCGTCCACGAGCCCGACGCCCCCGGCAGCAGCCCGGAACCGGAGGCCCTCGAGCGCCTCGAGTCCGCGCCGCGGTCCGCGAGCGACGCCGCGTCCGAAAAGGTCCGCGCCGAGTCGTCCGCGTCCGCCGCGCCGATGAACGACGACGACCGCGAGGCCGCCAAGCTCAAGGAGCTCGCCGAGCTCAAGTACGAGGCGCCCATGTCGCGCATCTTCGGCGAGTTCGCGTCGAAGAAGGTGAAGCTCCTGTTCCCGCTCGCGCTTCTGGCGTGCTGCGTCGACGGCATCGCGATGCCGCTCCAGGGCTACGTGCTGAGCGAGGCCATGACCGACTTCTACCTCCCCTACAAGTGCCCCCCGCGCTGCGCGACGGACGACGCGAACGCGACGGACTACTGCTGGGAGCAGACGGAGTGCGACAAGTACCGGCCGAGGGACACGAACTCGCCGCTGCGGCGCGAGGCGAACCGGAACGCGCTGGCCTTCGTCGCCATCGCCGTGCTCCAGTTCGTCGGCGTCTTCTCGAAGATGGGCATTTATCGCTACATCCAGGAGCAGATGACGGCCGTCGCGCGGGGCCGGTACCTCGCGGCGCTCGTGAAGATGGAGATCGGCTTCTTCGACGCGCCGGACCACAGCTCGGGCGCGCTGACGGCGGCCCTCTCGAAGCAGACGCAGCTCGTCGCGGGCGTGACGGGCCTGGGCCTCGGCGGCGCGGTGTCGTCGGCGTGCGCGATTTTGTTCGGGCTCGCGCTCGCGCTGCGCGCGTGCTGGCGCCTGAGCCTGGCGATGCTCGCGATGATCCCCGTCATCATGATGTCCATGGCCTTTGTCTTCAAGCTCATCATGGGCGACGGTGGCGAGTCCGGCGGCGCGCACTCGGGCGCGTCCGCCGTCGCGTCCGAGGCGGTCTTGCACAGGGCAGCAAAAGAGAGCGAAATTCCCAACTTCAAAGGCTCATATCTCGGCCGTTTTCCACTCGTTTCGGCTGACTTTTGGACGAGCAATCATCTCTCGGAACGGTCTCGAAGCGTGGATGCTTTTTCCGGAACGCGCGCGCGCGGAAAACTCACGTTGAAGCGACGTTGAATCACCCTTTTGCTGCCCAGGTCTTACACGTGAGGACGGTCCGCGCGGCGCGCGCGGAGGCCGACGTGCTCGCGCGGTTCGCGAAAATCACGGACGCCGTGGCCGCGGAGAAGGTGGGCGCCGCCTGGAAGGGCGGCGTCGCCTACGGCCTGGGCATGGCCATCATCTTCACGCTTTATTTGGTCGTCTTCGCGTTCGGCCCCGTCTGCGTCGACGAGGGCTGGTGCTCGCCCACGGACATGTGGAAGGCCCTGTTCTGCATCATGTTCGGCGCCTTCGGGGCCGGGTCGTCGGCGATCTTCGCCCAGGACGCGAACAAGGCGAAGATCGCCGCGTTCGACGTTTTCGCGGTCCTCGACCGCGACTCCGCCGTCGACGCGACGGCCGACTCCGGCGGCGCCAGGGAGCTCGCGGGCCTGGACCTGGTCTTCGACGCCGTGTCCTTCGCCTACCCGGCGCGCCGCGAGGCCCTGGTCTTGGACGGGCTGTGCCTGCGCGTGCCGGCGTCGTCGACGTGCGCGTTCGTGGGGCCGTCGGGCTCGGGCAAGTCGACGATCATCCAGCTCGTCCAGCGCTTCTACGAGCCGTCGGCGGGGGCCGTGACCCTCGGCGGCGCGGCGCTGGCCAGCTACGACGTCGCGTACCTGCGGTCCATCCTCGGCTTCGTCGGCCAGGAGCCCGTGCTCTTCGACGCGAGCCTCGCGGACAACGTGCGCTACGGCGCGCCGGACGCGACGGACGGCGCGCTCGCCGAGGTCGCGGCGCTGGCGAAGCTCGACTTCCTGCTCGACGGGCGCGTCGCGTGGACCGACGGCCTCGGGCCCCGCGGCGGCCGGCTCTCGGGCGGCCAGAAGCAGCGCGTCGCCATCGCGCGCGCGCTCGTCCGCGACCCGAAGCTCCTGCTCCTCGACGAGGCGACGTCGGCGCTCGACTCGCGGTCCGAGAAGCTCGTCCAGGAGGCGCTCGAGCAGGCGCGCGCGGGCCGCACGACGCTCGTCGTCGCGCACCGCCTCTCGACGATCGAGGACTCGGACCAGATCGTCGTCATGGTCGGCGGCACCTGCGCCGAGAGCGGCACGCACGCGTCCCTCCTCGAGAAGCGCGGCGTCTACCACACGCTCCAGAACCGCGCGCGCGCCTGAGGCTTTTTAACAAAATGTCGTGCTTGAAGATTTGTAACAATCGTAAAAAGTTTTTAAGTTTGAGATGCATGATGGGCCGGACAATATTACGAGAAAACACTAGACCGTGAGGGAGCGGCCGCGTTGCAGCGCCCATGGCGCGCCGGCGGCCCGGCCGACGGCACTGAGACGCCGTCCTAGGACCGCACGAAAGCGCATCGGCGCGCCGTCCCGCCCCGCGCCATGGGCGAGGCGCCGGCGCCGGCGCCGCCGGCGTCGACGCCGCTCGCGGCGCGGGAGAAGCCGTCGCTGCGACGATGGCTGGCGACGCACAAGCTCCAGGCCTGCGCCCTCTGCTTCATGGTCATGTCCATCGCGCTCTACTTCCTCGTCCAGGCCTTTGCGGCCGGCGGCGCGCTCGGCGCCGCGCTCGCCGTGGGCTTCTTCTGCCTCTTCTGCTACTGCTGCGACCAGGGCTACCGCATCTACGCGTCGGAGGGCTTCTGGCGCACCTACGCCTTCTACAAGGCGCTGGGCCCCCTCGTCGCCGAGTGGAAGCTCCTCGAGAAGCGCGCGAAGCTCGAGAAGTGGAGCGACGACCGCGCGCGCAAGGCCTACGACGCCTTCCACGTCAAGGCGGCGCCCAAGATCTACGACGCGTGCATCTCGCTCGGCGGCATCTTCATCAAGATGGGCCAGATCGCCGGGTCCACCTTCTCCTTTTTGCTCGCGCAGCCCTACGTCGTCGCCTTGGAGCCGCTCCAGGACGCGACGCCGCCGCGGAGCTACGAGGCCGTCGCGGCGATCATCCTCGACGACACGGGCAAGACCGTCGACGACCTCTTCGAGGACTTCGCGCGGGAGCCCGTGGGGTCCGCGTCCATCGCGCAGGCGCACAAGGCGACGCTCAGCGAGGCGTTCGCGACGAGCGTCGCGGGCGAGTGCCCCTGGCTCGCCGCCGGCGCGGACCGCACGGTCGTCGTGAAGATCCAGTACCCGGAGATCGCGCGGCTCTACCGCGTCGACTTCGAGAACATCGTCTACATCGCGGAGCTCGTCGCGAAGCAGGACGCGCTCGACGCGATCTACGATTTGCAGGAGCGCCACCTCGAGGAGCTCGACTTCACGCGCGAGGCCTGGAATTTGAAGACCGTGGGCGCGAACATGGCGAAGGCGGGCTTCGCGCCATCGCGCGTCGTCGTGCCGCAGCCCGTGCCGGGCCTCGTGTCGCCGTGCGTGCTCGCGATGCAGTACCTCGAGGGGCCCTCGCTGAAGAACGTCATCAATGAGCACCTCGAGGAGCGGGCCAAGTTCTACGGCTTCGACGACGTGTTAAAGATGAAGATGTTCGTCCAGAAGCAGGCGAAGCAGGACCGCGACGACGCGCTCTACCGCCGCGAGCACGGCGGCGAGGAGCCGCCGGAGGAGGTGGAGCTCGGGCTCGAGGAGGACACGCTCGGCGACGTGGAGACGGGCGGCGGGCCGAACCTGGAGAAGCTCCGGGTGAACCTGTACCGCGAGCGCGCGCCGCGGCTCACGAACGCCGTCGCGCGCGTCGGCGTCGCCATGGGCCGCCTCGACCGGGACACGTGGCTCCCCGACGCGGGCGCCGCGGACAAGGCGGCGCCCCTCGTGCCGCCGGACGTGCGCCTCGAGGAGCTCGTCGACACGCTCGTCGAGGTCCACGGCCACCAGCTGCTGAGCGACGGCCTCGTGAACCTCGACCCGCACCCGGGCAACGTGCTCGTGCTCGACGGCGGCCGCCTCGGCCTCATCGACTACGGCCAGGTCCGCGCCTTCGAGCCGGAGGAGCGCCGGTCCATCGCGACGATCGTCCACGCGCTCTACCGCGGCGACAAGGCCGCGGTCTTCGCCGCGCTCGAGGCCATGCCGCCCGCGGGCTTCCAGTGCCAGCACCAGAAGCACTTCCCCGAGAACGTGTTCCGCAACGCGACGCAGTCCTTCGACCAGTTCGTGAACCTGCCCATCTCCCACGACGAGGCCGCCCTCGCGGGCTGGCACCGGCCGAAGGACTTCAAACTCCACGAGATGCCCGAGGCCGCGTTCCTCCGGACGCCGGAGCTGTCCGTGCCGCCCTGCATGAGCAGCGCGCGGCGCGTCACGGGCATCCTGTGCGGCGTCGGCCTGCTGACCATGCGCGTCATCTCCCTCGCGAAGCAGTGGCAGGGCATCGCCGCGCGCGTCCTCGCGGACGAGTTCGGCGCGGCGCCGCCGCGGAAGCCGCCGCCCGGCGAGGAGACGAAGGAGTCCTAACACGTCGCTTTACTGGATCGCGCAGAGCTTCGTCTTCTGCTTCTTCGACGGGTCGTCGACGTGCCAGAGGGAGCACTTGCCGCAGGACGCGCACGTCTCCACCTGGCGGCGGCCCGCGCGCGTGATGTGGCCGCGCCGCGACACGTCGCAGTCGCAGAAGCAGAAGTGGCTGTAGCGCACGTGCTCCGTGATGAGCTGGCGGCAGACGTAGCAGGACTCGGCGTCGCAGGTCGGGCAGCGCATCTTGTTGCAGCCGTGGTCCTTGAAGAAGCGCGTGCCGCACGACGGGCACGACCGCACGAGCTCGTCCGTCGCCGCGTCGACCGCGGCCGTCCCGTCGCGGTCGACGCAGCGGTGGACGACGCCGGGCTCGATCTCGTCCTTGCACGCGACGCAGGACACCTTGCCGCAGAGCGGGTGGCGGCAGCGGAGCACGCCGACGCGGCCCTCGCGCGAGTCCGCGCGGACGCGGCCGTCGTCGCCGTCGTCCGTCCAGAGCCGCCGTCTCTCGTGGCCCGCGGCGGCGCGCGGGGGCGGCGCGGCGACGTCGTCGACGACGACGGCGTAGGGGCAGAAGGGGCAGGTGACCATGTTGGGCAGCTTCGCCCGCGCGAGCTCCGCGCGCGCGACGATCGCGTCGCGTTGTCTTAGCACCGGCGACGCGAGCGCGGCGGCGAGGCCCGCCTGGGAGATCGCGCCGTCGCAGAGCGCCGTCGAGATGCAGCGGAGCGTCGCCGCCGAGCCCTCGCTGATGCGCGCCTGGACGAGGGCCGACACGCAGCCGTGGCAGCACGCGTGCTGGCCCTTGGTGCACGTCACGACTTTGGCCGGCGGCACGCGCTCGTAGCAGCACTCGCACTCGACGGTCTTCGGCGCGCCGTAGCGCCGCTCCGTCTTGAGCAGCACGCCGGGCGACAGCCAGGCGAAGCGGCCGGGCTGGGGCGTCGCCGGCGGCGGCTTCTTCTCCGGCTCGAAGGCCTGGACGGCGTTCGGGTCCCGGGCCTGGAGCGGCGTCCGCGCGGCCCGCGGCGCCTTCTTCGTGGGCGTCCGGGCGACGCGCGCCGGCTCCGCGCCGCCGGACACGACGCCGAAGTAGTTTTCGTCGACCATCCCGTTCGCTAACATGCGCCCGTGGACGCCAACGACGGCGAGGGCTGCTTCGAATCGGCAACGATGATCGAGGCCAACTCAAGATGTTGACCCCCAAAAATCTTATTAATCCGGCCAAAACGGTGGTGTCTTGGCGGAGCGCCGCTGGTGTCACCGATCGTCGGCGGACTTCGGGCAGCCGCCGCGGTCCCTTTCGGTCGCGCGGCGCCCCCGGCTCGGTGGCGCCGCGGCGCGCCATGACGATCTACGGCCCCCTGGGCCCGGCCGAGGTCGCGGGCTGCTCCTTCGCCGTGAAGAAGGGCTACCTGGGCCTGCTGGCGATCCACGACGCGGCGCGGCGCCAGGGGGCGCGGGCGCTGCACGAGGAGCGCGCGCGCGCCCGGGCCGCGAAGCGCGTGCGCGCGCGCGAGGTCACGGAGCACCAGTACATCCTCACCTACTACCACGGGCAGCGGCCGTCGCCCGACGACGACCGCGCGTCGGAGGCCGCGACGGAGCGCTGGTACCACGACCGCGCCGGCGCCGCGCCCGCGGCGGCGCCGCGGCGCAGCGACCGCAAGCCCTTCCGCTGCTCCAACGCCAAGGGCCCGAGCCGCGACGAGATGCGGCGCCGCGACGCGCGCGACCTCGCCGACTACGCGCGCCAATGCGACGCGGCGGCCGCGGCCGCGGCCGCGGGCGACGGCGGCGCGCCCGCGGCGCCGGCGCCGGAGGCGAGGCGGCGCTGGGTGCCGCCCGTGCCCGTCGTGCGCCCCCGCGGCGACGCCCTCTTCGCCGCGGAGGCGCGCGACCGGACCGTCGCGGAGCGCGCGGCCGACGCGCGGCTCCGCGCGCGCGCGGTCGCGCGCGGCGCCGCGCCCTCGACCTTCGCCGTCGGCGCGTCGCCGGCGCCGCGGCCCCCGGGCGCGCCGCGCGCGCCGAAGCGGGCCCTCTCCGCGCGCGGGGCCGCGGCGGT